TTTTTGCCTACCAACACCTATGCTACCGTTTTACCTTTTACCATGCTAACCAGACCATACCTCGTACCATACCATGCCATATGTCCTATGCTAGTTACCTAGACAAAGGAATACTACCCTTTTCCACCCATCCAGCATCCCCTCTTCCTCACTCCCGTCACTCCAAAACCAACCACCGCTCCGCCACCGCCTTCGCCCCCTTCACATCCCCCAACAAGTAACACATGCACCGTACATTATACGCCGCCTCCACCACCAGCGTCTCCTCCCACTTACTCCTCTTGTCCCTTCCATATCCCTCTCCATATCCCTCCCCGTCTCCCCCATCTCCCCTTCCTTCTTCCCCTTGTTTCGCAAGTTTAACCCTCTCCGCCTCCTCCAACACCCTCCTATAAAACCCTCCCGCCAAATTGCCCAGGCCAATCAAACTATACGCCCTGCCCATATTGAAATGGGCCTCCATCTTCTGGCCCACCGTGGCCGTCGGATCTTCCTCGGTGCGATTGCGGTAGTATCTGAACAAAAAGGCGAAGCCTTGCGTCAAGAGGTACTGGCGGTTGGTGGCTTGTCGCTTCAGCGCGTAGTGCACGTAGGCGAGGCCGATGGAGAGGTTGATTAGCGGGTTATCCGGGTCCAGGGAGGCCGCGCGAGCAAAGTAGGATAGAGCGTAGGAGTAGGAAGTGGTGGTGAAGAGGATGTGGCCGTAGATTGTCAGGAGGGCGACGTCGAGGGTTATATCTCCCGGGGGTGGGTATTGAGGTTTGCTATTAACGGTGGTGGTGGTGTCGTTGTCGTTGTTGGATTGCTGGGAAGCGGAAGGTGGGAGAAGGTCGCGGGACTGGGGTTTTATGGGCGATCGTTGTTGTTGCTGTTGCGACTTGGAGGGTGATTGTTGTGATGCCGGCGGCGGCGGGAATTCGTCGCCGTTCTGCCGCATAACGAGCGCATCCATCGTCTTGATCTGCCTTAGAATGAACTTTTGCGCAGGGCCCGAGGTGTACCAGCTCACGGGCGTCTGGCAGGTGCGGCACATGGCGGCGAACATGCGATACGAATCGGTGCCGGGCAGGTAGTCGCGCATGAAGTAGCGGGCGATGGCCACACAAGTTTCTTCGTCGCCGGCGTATACGGCGCACGAGGCCCAGGCGACGTGAATGAGGTATGTTGACTCCGTGTCGGTCCAGACGATCGAGTCGCGGGCGGCGTGGCAGACGACGTAGGCCTCGCGGTGTTGGTTTTGTCTAACCAGGGCGAAGGCGAGGGAAAGGAAGATGTCGAGCCAGGCGGAGAAGGGGATGCCGCGATGAGCAGAATACGGGAACTTGGTAAGGACGCGGGCCTTGGACGCGGCCGGCATGTTCTCAGTGCCGTCGCCGTTCTCAGGGTTGAGTCCCTGGCGGAGACGTTCGGCCATGGCGGCCAGCTTCAGATTTCTAGACGGTACGGCAGCACCACCACCACCGGTACCACCAAGGCCCAGATACTTGACGTACTTGTCCCAGGGGTAGAATTCCTTGTAAGAACGGAAATCTTCGATGAGGTCCCGGGCCGCGCGTGTCCAGTTCTGAATGGCTTCAGGGTCGTCGCTGTGGAACGCGCGATCTTGCAGCTCCTGCACAACTTCGTAGTTCTTGGTCGCCACCTTCGTGCGTTCAAGATCCACCTGTTTGCGCTTCTCCGCGTTGATGAGACGGCGCGGGACATACTTTTTCGGGTTGTTGGGGTCTCTGGGCTTGTTGGGATCTCTCGGCTTGCGCGGCTTGCGGGGACCGGTTTGTCTGCGACGCTTTCTCTTGGGGACCAGATTCCCTTCCTGGTCAAGGGCGTACTGGTTGGCCTCGAGGTTCATAGCATCTCTGACCAAAAGGAAAGCTTCTTCGCGACCTTCCGGATCCGCCACGTGCTCGTACATGTTGGCGAGGCACACGCGTGCCTCAATGTTATCATCGTCATCTTCGATGGCGGCGATGAAACGCTCCTCGGCAGCCGATTTATTGCCCAAAGCCATGTGGCATCGACCGAAACTGACGAGAATATCGGCATCCATGCTGATATCGCCAGCCTGATCGGCGATCTTTTCGTACAATTCAAAGTACTCCAACGCTTTCGCCGGAAATTCGTTATCGAGCAGGGCATTACCAATATCCTTCAAACAATCGGGGAAGTCGTAAAAGTCGTCAACCGCCGTCTCCGCCGTCGGGTCCAACGAGGTCAGATGCCTCTCCGCTTCGTAAAGATCCCCCATCTTCATCCTGAACACGTACAGCCTCGCTCTCAAATCCACCGGCAGCGCCCGTCCGTACTGGATGGGCGAGAACATTCCAGGCTCATAATCCTCGCACAACTCCCTCCTCTCCTCACCCTCATCCCACTCCCTATCCTCGCCTGGCCAGCGGTCCCAAAACTCCTCGGCCCTGCGGCCCAGCTTCCACCTCGCCACCCTCCTCAGCTCCGCCACGCCCTGCTCCCACTGCTCCAAGATGGTAAAGAACTCGAGATAGATTCTCAAATCACTCCACTCGAATCCGCCCTCCATGGCCTCATACACCTCGTCGCCCTGGCTCCACAGATACTCAATGATATGCCTATACGCCGCCTTGGCCGCCTCAGCATTCTTCCTCGGATCCCTGCCATCCAGCGCCGCCTCGGCCAAGTTTCTCACCGTCCGAATATTCAACGGCTGCACCTTCAGCGCTCGCAAATACTGCGCCAGTGCCAGATGGCTCTGACCCAACTGCATCAGCGCATCTGCCTTGCCCGTTCTCGCTTCCACGTTCTGCTTGTCCGCTTGCAACGCCTGCGAGTAGCACATAACCGCTCTCTCCAGCGCCAGCTTGCGAGCCGGGTCGGCGTCATCCATCATGTCGACGCCGTACAGACAGTAGAGCGCCACGTTCATCCAGTGGCGCGCGTCCTTGGGGATCAGCCAGGCGCCGGAGATCAGGCACATGGTTGCCGCTTCGCGGTTGCCGAGCTCTTCGTGGATGAGGGAGAGGAGGTTCCAGGCCTGAGGCGTGGCGGGGCGCTGCCGGATGATTTCTTTGGCCATATTGATCGCTTCTTGGTACTCGCGGCGGTCGAAGGCTTTGCGGGCTATTCCGATGCGGAACTGGATTTCCGGAGGAGGGGGCGGCGGCTTGCGGGGGCCGAGTTTTCGACGGGGTCGGGAGGTTTTAGCTACCGGTGCTGAGGGAGCGGTGCCGGTGGTTGTTGTTGTGGTGGCGCCATCGTTCAGGCTGTTGTTGATCTGTTTGGACAGCGACTTCGAGACGCCAGGGAGGGTTGAATAAGCAACTGAGGGAAGGTCGGCTCGGTGTTCTGCGAGCCATGCGTCGCGGACGGTTTCGAACTTGTGGATTTCCGCTCGGATCTCTTCGGTGTCGGAATCTAAGAATTCCTCTTCGGGCTCGACAACGCCGTCCTGCATCTCTTGGTCGTCAAGATCGTAATCGTCGAAGCCGTCCATTCGACCATCATCTCCGGCCATCAGCTCAGGGTCGAGTGGTATGTCGTCATCGTACTGGTTGTAGAAGTAGGCGGCGCTATAGACGCCGGTTTGTCTTTCGCCATCATCGTGAGCTAGCGAGTGCTCGTCAATATCCATCCTGTCGTCCATCTTGAGCTATAGGCACCTTGCCTGACGTGATCTGTTGGAGGTTTCCTGAGATGTTCTAGTAGCTGATTTCCCTGTAAAAAAAATGTGAAAGGATGGGCGCTCGTCCGGCGAGTGAGCAATGCACCGTTCGGCTGTGTCTTCTCGTGGCGAGTGACTGTCTCGGTCCGTAGGCTCGAAAGTGCGAATCGCCTCACACCTCACTTCTGGTTCACCCAGAACGTCAAGCTCGCCAATTACCAGGCTGTTACACCAGGTCGACTCCTCAGTTCCCGAGATTGACCGACTTGATGAGTTCCATCGGTGACTAGACCATTGATCGCGGATACCGTTGACAGAAGTATCGATGTTTTACGAACGGGCGAGTTGGTTGAGTGAAGGTTATAAAATTTTGGCGGGTTTTTGAAGTTCCGTTTTTTTAAGAGGTCGACAAGGCCTGTGCTGCAGAACGCGGGTGTGCAAGCTTTTCCCGGAAGGTCCCTTTGAAATTCTACGGATAACGTCAATGGCTGTCGTCCTGGTCCAGGAAAGATTCTTGCGACAAGACAACGTACCTGGCCGGGATTGGTATTGGAGATTGGTGAGGATGATGAGGTTGATGTACATGTGAAGGCAACGGACTTGTCGAAGATGGATTGATAAGTCGAGAATTGACATATTGGCCAATCAGAACCGGGGCAGTCGGAGGATCCATTTTAAATATGGTCCTTCTGGGACCTCCACCATTCACTGTCTCGCTCCATTTCATCCCGGTCACCATCACAGCTATGAAGACACGGAAGTCATCTTGGGATCCAAGAGTTATTTTTTCACTTCAGACGAAGCATGCACGAGTGTTATAACAACTGGATTATCTCCGCTAGCTTCACTATGCCATGAACAAGTACGAACATCTATCGCTTCTCCAGTCAAGTCCAACTCTTTCTCTCCACCTACTTCGGGCTTGGAATCTGGGCTTCCCACTACCGCAAACACCATGTCGCATCAACTTCATCGCTAATCTTTGTTATACAAACGCTAGTTGTATTTATTTTCATCCTGCTTGTTCCTCTGTCTCCTCCAATGTGTTTTCACGGTTGCCTAGACATGTGAAATGGGTGGGAATCATTGCTGCCCACCAACTCAACTCTACTCCAAAAAGATGTGCCTCTTGTCCCCACATATATATGTAGCAAAACTATTGCATTGTGGACATTAAATCAGAACGAACGGAAGAAAGAAAGAAAGAAAGAAAGAAACGGGTTGTCAGTGTAGTAGCCCATACCGGCTACATCATCCTATATCTCCGATCAAGATCGCGGCAAACTCCAACACTTCTGCCCTATGTCATTGTCGACAGGCCTTGATCAAAATGCCTTGTTGTTGGCGAGTCCAATGGGCGCCTAACTCAGGTTCGTGGGCGCCTATCCTGGTTCTCTGTCGCAACAGCTGCCAAGCTAGATCTTGCCTTCGTTTTTAGCCTCTGCATTAGGTTGTTAGCCTTCGATCCACTTAGGTCCATAGGGGATTGCAAGACTCACCCTTGACTTGTTCAAAGACCTTGAGCATCTTGCGTCTAGCGCCCAAAGCATTGACACCACGCTCCTCCAGCTGCTTGTCGTCTAGCTCGATCAAATCCGTCCACTTCATGTCCTTCAAGTTGTCTGTGTACTTGTGCAGACGCAGGCTCCGCAGCCAGCTAGGGATATCCTGCAGGAGAGTAGGGTCGGTAGGATCCTCAGGCGGCTTCGAGCTGCCTCTGCGACCACGCGGAGAGCGGCCACGGTTGATCTCGGAATGGTCCGAAAGATAGCCCTCTGCGTGGTGGCCGCCCAGGTTAAATTGACCCATCATTGGAACCAGTCCATTGTTGATCAAGCCGGGTGCACCACTGTCATACGCGCTAAGGAAGCCATTGTTCTGCGGCGAGGTAAACTGCAATGCGGGGCCGTAGTTGGGCACCGCAATACCGGGTGAGGTGGGGCGTGAACGATGGCCACCAAAGCCGCCAAGACCCTGTTGCAGACCATGTTGTTGTTGCTGCTGAAGCGCCAAAACATGGTCGTGGCTCAAGACTTGCCCGTGCTCGTTGATCATGACCACATTGGTGCTCGGAATTCCCTGAGGCCCCGGCGAGAGGGGCATCTGACCGTGATTCTGGCCAGGTGCTCCATCGTTGGAACGAGCACGGCGATAGCGGCGCGCGTCGTCCAAAGCAAAGCGGTTGTTTACCGTCGAGAGTGCGGCCAGCTTCATGGCTGTCGCGTTGGCTACCATGTCGGCATTGTTTCCTTGCGTTTGGCCGAAAGTTGGAACCATGGGTGTGTTGACCATCGAGGCCCAGTTACCACTAGAGGTGTAAGGGGATAGCAGCGGGAGCTCAGTCAGCTGCGGCTCAGCCGCAGTAAGGGTCGTGCTCTGAATGTTGGAGTTACTGCTCAGCTGCGGAGGACGAGGGGAACGCAAACCACCGGCCGACGGCGGGGGTTGCACAAACTGGCCCATCGGAGTCTGGCCGGTGGATGACTTGGGCCGAGAAGCGTCGCTGGGACCCCACGGGGAGGCCGGGTTTTGTCCATTGGTGTCATCCTTGGGGCCGGAAACCGTGGGGGCAGCGAGGGAGTTGCGGTTGTCAACCAGGCTGTTACGGTTCGAAGGCGGAGGGTTGCCTGTTTGCTGAGTGAATTTGGCCTTCTCCGTAGCAATGGCCGCAACAGCATCCGGGAACATGGTGTTGATCGTGCTCTGATCCAGCCCCGAGTGTCTCTTGTTGGCGCCGCCACTGGGGCGGGCAAGCGAGTTACGGGCCGATCCGACTTCCAGCTTGCCCATAGCATCGCTCAAGCGGCTCGACATGGGATCTATAGGTATTCAAGGGATGCTGTCAGCACGATGTTCAACAATTAAGCAATGGGGCAGTTGCACAAACCCTTGTCAAAGTTAGCAGGGGACAGAACTCCCGACATGGGGTGGTTCTTGCCCATCTGCTGGAGGACCTGGATGAAGAAACGGATCTGGACCTGGGTAGTCTGCTGAAGCAGAGCATAAAGGGCAGCTGTGCGCTCAGCTTCGCTCAGGACGCGGAACCACTGTTCAATAGCGCTGAGTTCATCCTTGAAGTCCTGATCAAGCGTAGCGGCAGCCATCTCCTCGAGAGTGGTCTCATATTGGTCAATGTCGGCAATCCACTGCTGCGCCAGCTTGTCTTGGGGGTCCAGCTCGGCACCGCCCTGCACCTGGCCGGACTGCGGCTGGCCGTAAAAGTCGGACGACGGGCGAATGCGGCTTGCGGCGGCCTGAGCGCCGGTAAGCGCGGCCACATCGGCAGAGGCGCGAAGGCCGTGGTTGGAGCCAATGGCGCGAGAAGAGGGGGGCCTCAGCGAAGAGACATTGCTAGCCTCGGGGGTGCTGTTGCGGTTGCTCATAATGTTGGACATGTTGAGCATGATCGTGACCGAGGGTCGGGACGGGACGAGGTCGCGAGTTGGGGAAAAGCTAGTCGAGAAAGGTGCCTGGAGAATGTAACCGAAGCGCTAGGGTCTCGAGGCAAAAGCTGAAACAGGGCAGACGGCTATTGTGAAAGTTAGCTTCTGTAATGGCAGTCGGTCATCCGATGAGCTTTCTACCAACAAACCGAGGAAAAGGTTGTTGGTCCCGTCAATGACATGTGTGTATAGGCCACCTAATATGGTCCCTGCTGGCCGGGGTGAAGTAGGTATTTGGCACGTACCCTGATGTCCTCCTCCAGTTGCGTATGTGAAGTGATTGGAGAATTATTGCTTGGGATTAGGCAGAGTCAAGCGAGACTTTCGAAGTCGACGCGATCGAAGTGTGTGGGTGTGTGAAAATAGGGCGTGTGTAGAATGGGCGCGAGACTTGCGAAAGCTCCTGCAGTAACTGGCTGGCCTCAAAGGAGTGTCGAAGATTTGCGCAAAGAAGGATGACGTTTAGCGATTTCGGTTTTCTGTGTCAAACATTGGAAGTGAGCGATCGAGTCAGCGAGGGTCAGGCCAACAACCGACAACCGAGGGGTGCTGCGCAATGCGGGGGGGAATATGTTGAGTTGCGCGCGCAAAGGCCGAAACAGGCCAAACAAAGATGATCAAATGTTGGAAAGGGAAGAATAAAGTAGGAGACGGGTGGTTAGGGCCTTGTGGCCATTGAAGGGTTGGAGCTGTTGAGTGGGGAGGGGAGCGAGGGCAGCGGGGGAGGAGAAAGAAAGAAAGAAAGAAAGAAAGAAAGAAGGAAGGAAGGAAGAACGGGAGGAGTTGGAGTTGTTCAAGGAAAACGAATTGTTGGTTGGGGCGGGCAGACCGGGGCAGCTGAATGGGGGAGGCCTGGGAAATAGAGGAGCAGAAGTGGAAGAAGTGTGTGATGAAGCTTCTAGTGATTCTCCATCCCCAGTGTACAGTGACGCGGCCACTGCACCATTCATTGTGCCGAACGAGACGGAGACGCCAGACCGAGACACAGACGTCGGCGCGGACAAGCAGCATGCTGGAGACTCTGTTGCAGAATCACCAAAAGCGGCTAAACTGGCCCGGATCCGCTCAGCGTAACACTCCGTTTCTCGTAGACTTTTTGCGACATTGTGGCCCCATTCTGTGATTCTCATACCCGACTCCAGTCCGCGGCCCCGTTCGTTGGTGGAGGTGGAGACTGAGTGACTGATATCACAGGGTACTTCATGCCAGAAGCCGGCCACTGCCAAAGTCCAGCCATGCTAGGGAAGATGCTGGCCATTGTTCGTTCCGTTACTCGTCAAAGGACTCGGGAGTTTGCCCAAGACACACAAGACACGGAACGGCGCCGGATCGAGGCAGAGTGTATGGGTTTGGGGTCGGGGTCGGGGTCGGGGTCAGGGCCGGGGACCGGGAACAAAGTGCTTGAAAATAGGAAACATGAAAACAGAAATAGCAGCAAGAGAGAGAAAAGGCCGAAACTCACCCATTAAAACGATGGACGTATTGATATTCAAGACAACAAGTTGAAGGAATCCCCAAATGATATACCTGAACGGGAATCCACAGGTCCTGCCCTCTGTCCTTTGTCGACCTTTCCGCCTGTGCCAGCAGCAGTCCCGTAGTGATGGTGATGATGGTTATAAAGATGGTCTCTCTCACGCGCCGGCGTGTCAGTCGTCAATCGCAAGAGTCTCCAGTCGGTACCTAGAACCTAACGCTGTGGCCGTGACTGAGCAGGTAGGTTGTCGTCAGTTGGGTGGTTGGTAAGATAGGTAACGGAGAGGAGGGATAAGGAAGAGGAGAACGGGACTCGGAACATCCAAGTTGTTGTCCGTTGAAAGTGAGGTGGTTCAGGTGAGGAAGGAGGAAGTGGAATCGGAGTGGAAGTCCAGGTCACCGAAGACCTCGACGCACAGTCGCATGGACACTACAGTGAGGTGCCTCCCGGATGTCATTTGCCTGGGGAGGAGCTGCTACTGTTAGTGATTGGCTTTGCCATTGGTGCCACCGTCTTACATTATGGGCGCTAGCGCTAACATCCCCCTCGTCCAATGGGGACCGCCCAGGCGCTCGCCTTCCAGGGCAGTGTTTCGATGTTCTCACTGCAACCCAGCACAGAGGGCCAAGACCTCCAACGGAAGGGGCGGAAAGCGGGACGAGGTGGGGCTAGAACATTCAGCATCGTGACACTGGCTTGAGACTGCCGACTGAAAATGGAAACCTCTAACAATTCACCCGAGATTCAAAGGGGGCATGCCCTTCACCTGCAGCAACAGCTTGTTTAGAAAACGGAAACCGCCTATCGTCAAACGCCAGTGGCTATCCAGGATTTTACTGGAGAATGATTGATGGGCTCACAGCGTGGCACCTCTACGCTCTCTACCCATTTTCCCTATCTTGAATGGCCGTGAGTTACAGGCAATTTTGTTAGACACTTACATTCCCTCCCTTTTCCAGGCCAAGTGTGGAACCCCTTTTCGCTTAAACAGGCAAACTTTCGTGGTATCTCAAAAGGGTTAGGGTTCAATGCTACCCATCATCGAATGCGACATTCCCCTGATATAATCATCATCACTCTCTTTTCACTCACAAACCAGAAGTGTCGTATTGACGAGAAACAAGTCAGTGCTTTTATTTGTCAAGGTAGTATCGCTCTAAAACATTGCAACTCTGCCCACCATCTGCTAATCCAAGAGACACTCCGGGGAAACGAAACAACAACAAAACCGACCACCGAAGTTTCTAACAACTCCCAAAATCGCACTCGTAAATGGATCCGATACAGGAAGACAAGTGTTCTCCCCAGAAGGGCCGCCTTCAAGATAAAGAAGCAAGGACACCCCCGAATATAAGCCCCGAGACGAGTCCAGAAACAAGTCCAGAAGCAAATCCAAAGGCAAGTCCAAAGACATCTCAAGACTTCCTCCCCTTCAACAAGTTCAGTGCCAATAACCTTCACGAACTTTTGGCTCCGTGGGCACCACACCAACAGCTTTCCGCTCCTCATCACCCTCGCGCGCTACGGGTTGTGATTGCATCTCATCAACTTTCGTCCTCTTGACGCGCACAGCCAACTCTTGCGGCTCCTCACTCTCCGCTTGGTTCCTCTTCTTCTCTGTACTTCTGCTTGGCTCTGAAGGAGTCGACGGCGTAGAACTTGATGGCATCGTATAAGAAATCAGTGTCTTTGTTGGAGGGGGCCATTTTGGTAGTGGTGGTGGTCGTGGTGGTGATGATGATGATTGGGAAGAACGACCACCACCAACAAAGTCCAACAACGACAACATGTCAGCCCTCGAATTCGGCGGAGCTGCACACCCGCCTCCATCCGCTGGCCCAGCTCGTGCTTGCTTCCCAAACTCCTCCACAGCCTCCGGAAACGTAGCCTTCAAATCATTCAACACCCAGGCGCTCTCCTGCACGGATATGTGCTTCTTCCGTTCATATCCTGCCCTCTCGCCCAGGACCGGTCCGCGACGAACAAAGAACTTCTTCACGACGTGTTTGATTGCAGCGTGTATACGCTCCAGTAACTTGTCATGCGCGTGCCTCCACGCTGCCAGTTCTTTTTCCAGCGCCCACTTGGTCACGAGGCTCATGTTCTCCTCAGAGAGCTCTTCTTCATCCTCGGAGAGCTCTCCATCCTTGACAAGTTCCTTGATACTTTCCTTGGGAACTTCCTTGACACTTTCCTTGACACTTTCCTTGACACTTTCCTTGACACTTTCCGTGACACTTTCCCTGAGACTTTCCCTGAGACTTTCCCTGAACTTGTCTGTCCTGGCTTCCAAGGCCTTGAACAGGGGGACGACGGGTGACATTGTAAGGGTAAATCTCCTCAGCTCTTCGAGGCGTTCATTCATGTCTTTGAGCTCTTCGGCAAATGTACCGTTTCGAGCTATGTTTTCGATAAACTCGGATTTGGTCCTTTGCCGACGGCCGCTCGGCACCCATTTCGTATCGATCGCATTGTTAACTGGACTCCTCCTCCCTTGTGCCTTTGCCGTCCTCATCGCGGGCGCCTTCCATGGGTGGTGTTCAGTGCCCCTGTATACTGGCACTGTTTGAGCTAGAATACGTGATGAGAGTGCTGCATGAGCCGATGTTGGTGGTGGGAGGAGTATCTTGCTTGTTGTCGGTTTCTTCCGCGGGCCGTGGTCAGGGAGGATGATCTCCCCACCTGTGGTCTAGACATAAGTGACTGGTGTCAACTGGATTCCCTCCCTCGCTCGCAGTTTCGGAATATCACAGAGTCTCTCACTATCTGTTGTGGCCGCGGTACCTCGGGGTAGGTTGACGCTGGGGCGGCCGAGGTATGGTCTTGGCTGTTGGATGATGATATTGGCGAACACATGTCCGACTGTGGTGGTAGAACGAATTCAACAGGCTGAACAGGAGTGTCCAGTTCAACACGAGTTTGGTTTCTCACTTTCATTCCCGCCGTATCAGTGCCTTGAACTCTGTCATTCGCTGATGGATTGCAGAAGGAGCAGCCTGTGTCTTTGTTTTCCTGTGGCATCTCAAATGACTGGAGGGGAAGTAACCCTTTTACGGCGTAGGGTATGAAATGGGTAGGGAAGGAGCGTAGCGGTACTTCAAAGACTCCGGGCACAGCCCTCTTCTTTTCCTTTTCTTTTCCTCGTTTTTTTTTCCTTTTTCTTCTCCAATGCCTGATTGACAGAATCCACATGGTGGATGGGTTAGTGCCTTAAGGTTTGGGGCTTAGAAGACCATTCGAACAGTCTGCAATGCTGCAGGTGCAGTGACTCAGCCTGGAAATGTACAGATCACGCCGAATTTTCCTTGGACCTAAGATGCTATGCAGTGGAGGGAGTCAGGGAACAGACAGGAGTTGACAACATCTCCGAAGTGCTCGTGAAAATAGACCGAACATGGACAGTCCAGTGCGGCTCGCCTTGGCGAGAAAAAGGACGTTGCGAAACTGCGATAGGGTTTACATAAAATGATGAATACGTTAGATAGAGTCCATCGAGGATTGTTTCATGTAGTAAAGGGTTAGATGTTAGATTGAAAGTCACAAAGATCAGGGCTGGGCGTGTAATTTACTGGTCGTAACGTGTTCGGTGTAAAAACACGACCCCTTCGCTACTTTGATTCAATCCCCCGAGTCTTTGCGGAAAGAGCCATCAGCACATGTCACGCATCACTTCCCGGGGTCAAGAGTTCCTGGCACGACGAATTTAGCACACATACACCAACAACCGCTGCTGCTTTTCGGTTCAAGATGGAAAGACTCGGTCAAAAATTATTCAAAATGAATCACTCAACTCCAGTCAGGTTGTACCCTCCCCCTACTTTCCTTCCAATCTCACCTCCGCGACCGGCCTCCGCAAAGTGAAAGCTAAACGGCAAAAATACCCCTAATCAACTGCGAAGCCGAAGATTTAGCCTTATTCCATGCTTGTCGCTGCATCTGCTGCTTCGCATTGCTCTTGCTTACCTCCCGGTCTACTTCTTCCCTTCCGCTTTCCCTTTCACTACACCTCACACTACTCCTTCTAGTCACCTCAATCTGTCTCTTCAACCCATCAAAAGTCCATAACGCATCATCCAGCTCCTTCAGACACTGCTCGAGCTTAGGCAAAAGCTGGGTATGTAGCTGGCTTTTGGTAACCCCCTTTTCGTCGGTCAGTGAACGGTGTACGTACCAAAGGTCGGAGTTGATTTTTTGAGCGTTTCTGAGCATTTGTACTGTTTGGTGGAGCTCGCCTTTTTCAGGACCTTCGTCTAACTGAGAAGAAGAAGAAGAAGAGCAGCAGGAGAAGGAGAAGTGGTAGACATGATGAGTTTGGCGGGTGTGTCGGTGGATGTACTCCTTTACGCGGGCTTTGATGGGGGCGAGGTCTTGTTCGGGTATTACTGGGTCGGGGTTGGGATTAGAGGAAGAGGAGGAGGAGGAGGTGGTGGTGGTGCTGTCTTGGGGACTTGAGAGAGTGCTAGATTTGTGGTGCACAGCGACCGGTGTTTGAAGGGGAGTATTGTGCTTCATATTTTTTGTGTGTTTTGTTTTCCGACCGACCTGCGGTTGATTAGGAGTAGGTGATTGCCAAGTGATAGTGGGTTAACTGCCAGAGTCATAATCTGGAAAACGACAAACAAATGAGAAAATTGAGAAAGAGAGAAAGACCGCTACCACAAAAGAAAAGGGGGATGTTCGCTATCAGACAACTCAACGAAGAGAAAGTTAGACATCGTGAGATTTATACATTGGATCCCCGTCGTACAGGAACGGCACAATTTCTTGACATTTTTAGGTACGTTTCGTTGACAACGAGGCCATTCATTGATTGTATGAAGCTCTCGTCAGTTCCCGCAGTATGCCGCCCTTTGATCCGAACAGCACTAAACAATGGGGCTGTCACCCGTGATGCGTTGTTCACAGAACCCCGTGGACCTCCAATGAACGGCTCCCCGCTGTCTCAGATAGTTGAAGGACTGGCAATGCCATTCATCTGATGAGCTTCATCCGAGTTATCAATATCCTTTCGTGGAAAAGCAAACGGCCAAGATGGGAAAGAAGTGTCTTCATACCAGCTACGGTAGCTACCGACGCATGCCACGGAGTTGCCACCCATTCATCCGGTTCGACGTCTTCTCGTCATGGGGAATCCAGCAAGCGTCGGGGAGTTGATATGTCCAATTGCATGAGCTCTCATCCTTTGTAAAGAATGATAAGCACATCAACAGCTCGGCTGTTCTGGACAAACGCTTCCCTTTGTCCGTTGTCTCATATGTATATAAGAAACCTGCACCACCGTGCATCACTGTTCCCTTGTACAATGCCATTATGTACAGTTACCGTACTGTTGTTCAATTCACTGCGACCGGCCTCCAGAGCTTCACCACCATGGCCTCTCGTCACGATAGGTTACCGAGAGTACTCGTGATGAGCGTCAAAATGATATCTCAGATCCCCTATAGGGATATATACTACTGCCCTCGAGCTCACTTACTCCAGCTCCTGGTACTTCATCGTCGTCATCGACTGAAAAGATTCCTACTAGAACACAGCGAAAAGCGAGTAGATTGTCGGGCATCACCAAGACAAGCTCAGGGAGTTCGACGAAAAAGACAAAACCCACAGGTGTTAGGACTTACCACCAAAACAACCACATACAACAAGATGAACGAGCCCACATCACCTACACTCTTCCCCCTCACCTCCCTCGCCAACACCCCGCGACTTCTCAGCCCGGAGCCCCGTGTCCGTGTTAAGCGTGTCCATATCAAGCGCGAAGAACCCCCTTCGGAACCCGCCCCGGACTTCTTTCCCGTTCCTATCCAACGTCCCCAACTACATCCCAGCGTCCTCACCCTCTCCCACCTCCGTCGCCGCCGCCTCCGGCACAACCTCCCCCGCGACCTCGTCTCCATCTCCAAGATCTGCCGAGATCTACAAGAGCGAGTGAACGACGTTCCCGTCCCGATCATTCCAACCGTTCCCTCCTTCCCGCATTTACGCTCCGCAGGCCCCGTCAACGTCTACGAAGACGCGGTTGCCGCCGCTACCGCCGCCACTGAAGACGCGGAAAGGATCCAAGACATCAAGATCCAACTGGAGTTGCACGCTCACGAGCTCGAAGTCATGCGCGGTTGCGTCTTCGAGCGGTTCGAAGATTTGTTTGACGCGGAGAGGCTGAAGATTCTGAAGATGCAGGTGGATTGCTGTTTCAGGGATTTGCACGAGTTGCAGGTGGAGATTAATCATCGGGTTTGGAGTGGGAGGTTGAGGCAGCCGTTGCAACCTTTGGAGAAGGTGCATGTGAGCTTGCCCACTGGAAGTGAGGGTAAGAGGAGGGGAAGGGGTCGTGAGGGGGAGAGGGAGAGCGGAAGCGAGCAGGCAAGCAAGCAGAGGGAGGTCCCTGCTCGGGATGTGGCCATGGGTTCTGGCCTGGACATAGACTTGAACCTGAACGTGGGTGCCCAGTTCGAGGGCATCGAGTGGCCCGAATTCACCGACGAGCAAATCGCGGACATGTTGAAAGAAATGGAGGAGGAAATGCTTGACGAGCCAGTTGACTGGGAGGAGATTCTGAGAGCAGAGGCTAGGGTGGAGGATAGGCCTGTGAAGAGGGAGCCGGAGGATGATGGGATGAAACTGGATGACGCGGACGAAACGGAGACCGCCAAGGTCGACCATGCTAACGGGGAAGAAGTCGACAAGGAGAGAATGGAGGAGGATGCTGACATGAAGGAGCCCGAGGAAAGCATTTGGAGCGAGGAATCTGGAGGAGTTGACCCGAGGGCGTGTCTTTCTTTGGCGCACCCTTGCGATCCGGGTGCGGGTTGGAGCTGGAATCCCGCGTGGGGTCGGAGGCAGTAGTAGATGGCGTCTGCAGATGAAAATAAGGGTTGGTAGATGTTTTTGGATCGGAGGGATTGCAGGCTATAGCTAGGGTGCGATGCGACTTGGAATTTACTGACGAGGTAGAAGCGAGATCTAGAATAGAGATGGGATTCGGAACATTAGAGAAGACTGACCAGCGAGAGATACTGAAAATAAAAACAACACTTACTCAAACCAAAGGTCGCCTGTACCTCAACCGATGTGGGACATTTACCACCTGTAGACCTGTAGGGCACCTTATAAGGTCCCTTATCCGATTCTTCCATCACAACGAGAGCCCAAGGACTGTGTCTATATGGTGCAGCGGTCCCGTTGATGAAAAATCGTCGGGTGCGCGGTATCCGAGGTACATTTTCGTAGATCGCTGACTGGAGGATTGAGGTTCGTTCCGCAAGCTTAACAGGGCGACTTAGCTTTTTGCAATTTTTGTCGCGCTTAACGCTGATTGAAAATATCGCAACAATATCCATTGGCTTTCTTCCTTTATTTTGCAAACTTGAACGAGTTTCGAATCTCGGGTTTTGGTTGGAATATCGGTGGTCGCAAAGTGGTCGCAAAATTGTCACGCTGAGCTGCTTCCCCTCCACCCATACTGGCCTACTTCCCTCCCTTCTGGCCGTAGTGTGTTCCATTCACTTCAACCAGATCCTACATCTTGAGACGAACAACATGGTTTGTCTAGTCATCCGAGGTAGCTCAGTCGTCCAAATCCAGGAGGGTAAGGTCTGCATCTCGAACTTGTCGTCTCAAAAATTGTCAGCGTTTGATCCAACGTCTTGACTCAGGATTGATGGTCCACTCACCAAAACGCAGAAGATGCCTTTTAAATCGTTAAAGCCAAGCACAAAATGCACTCGAGGTATTGCTGATTCATTCGCATAAACTAACCTTCAAATACAGCCGCGTCCAAAACGTCAACAAGCAACACTGGATGTCAACGCTTTCCCACAAAAGGAAGTTGAGCTTTGAGAATCAACTCATCACCCGGTGGGATCTTGATAAGCAATCAGAGAAACGCCTGGATAAGAACCCACAATATCGTGATCGAGTGTCCTGGATATTTGATAGTGAGCTGAACTATTGTTCACCTACTCACCTTTCGACGCAGCAACAACAGGTAGGTAGGCAAACCACTGCGAGACAATCGCTGACACAAATCTGACAACCTCCAAAGATACCTTGACCTAGTATAGCCCATCAAAATCATGTCTTGCCCGCGACCACCTCCCCTCGACCTCACTCATCTCCCGCCAACACCACCCGCGACTCCCGACAAACAGCAACAACATCCCCTCACCTCCACCTCTCCCAGTACAGCCTCGTGGACGCCACTCAAACCAAAGAGCGTTCGATTCGCTCTTCCAGCTCCTCAAGCCCACAAATCCAAGACATTGTACCACACGTCCTCGATCTTCAACGCCGACTACCTCCGCCGCAAGCCCAAGCCCAAAGCCAAGAGAATCCCCACTAGGCCCTACAACGCTTCACTCAACCGGCTCACAGAGAGATACTATGTCTTTGTGCAGTCGCTTTGCGACCCAGAGCTTTCCAGTCCCAGGTTCGACGTCGTTGATAACAAGCTCGTCTCAGAGAGCAACAGAGGCATTCTCGCACCTCCTCCATCCCCAATGTCTCTCATCTCCCCCGTTCGAGGTATTGAAGCCCAAATCCAACAGCGCAAAGCCCTTCAGGTCATCAGGGACGATGCCCACGCCTTGGTCTACAAGCCTTTGACAGCCATAGCGCCCGTGCTTACTCTTCCGTTTTTGCCGAGCCAGCAGGCAGCAAAGAAGGTGAGGGGGCTGTTGAAGCGGGCGAAGAGAGCGTTGATGGCGTTGGAAGCTTTGTTGACCTCCGAGGTTTCAGACTCCGATTCGGATGAGAAGATGGAGATGGGTATGGACGTTAATCGAGATCGGGAGCTTGCCAATGTTGAGAGTGGCAATCGTATGGACCTCGATCATCAGGGTAATTCTGATAGTACTGACAAGCATGATTATTGGACTGGACTTGAGACTGCGGAGTCTCTTCAGGGGGATTCTCAGAAAATAATGGCAAAGGAGAGGAGGGAAATGGAGGCGATCCAGGACGGTGTGGCGACAATGAGTCTCTAATGGTGCGTGAACTTTCGCAGCCGCGTGCATCTGGTCGCAAGGCACCCGAGGGATTACCAAACGCTGGACTCTGCACTTTCACTTATCGGGAGGATTTCGAGGAAGAGGCGCACCATGATATCGCCCGTAGCGAGGAGCAGGCTCAAGATGAAGCAGCGCTGACTAGCCTGGGCGGGTTCATGGGCATTTGAAGGGACGCCCCCGATAATACCGTCATTATGGAACGATTGAAGGTCTAAAAGAGGATGGTCACCTTATTGACTGGTATTGGTTGGCATCGAGGGTTTATACGCTGAGTGGGCCGCCGAAGATCTGGAATCGTCGGAAGGATGGAGAGAAGGATGGCGACGAATACCCAGATGAACAACTCACGCCCATGTTAGGCTGAGAACAAAGACTGAAGGCGGTACATGGCAGTGGCAACGGATAGGCGTATGGCTGTTGGATGTTGGGTGATTCAAGGTCGTGCACGCGCGCCGCCCTTGAAGCGAGCATTTTGAATCGGAAGTGCGGTTGGTAACGGAGACGGAAAAAGGCTTGGTCCTCGATGGCAGCAAAAATGGTCAATTTCAGATTGCAGCATGGCTTGAAGAAGAGGACGGATTGAGGTACAGAAACTGGATCCAAAGCAGAGAAATGCAAATGTGTGTGGGGCTCGCCCCTTTTCTTTGTTTACTTCGGTGTAACCTGATGATAATGGGTTAGGGTTGTTAGCGCCATCTTCAGCTTCACCACAAGTCTTTCTGGAGGCTTACCACGTTGACTGTCCATTCTTCAAGAAAGAAATAAAAAGACAATTGAGTAGCTGAAAGGGCTTTGATCATTTTATTTGCATACTTCTCAGCCAGTTGGCAAAAGTGGAAGGGTGCTTATCAGGACAGTGTCCGTGAAGCCTACCCCAACCCTCATCACATCATGGACCGCCATCGTGACAGTCCCTGTAAAGTTCCAGAAAGCCTAAAAGGAGCCCCAAAAATGGAATGAATTGATGTGATTTCCCAAGCGCCTGCTGAGACAGAGCCAAGCGGCTCAACAAGGTAGTTTGTCGATGTCGTGAACAAAAAGCCGAATGGTGTTCGCGCGAGGTGGTGGATTGTTCCAGACCAGAGTGATGCCTGCTTAGACGTGACGATATCAGACCTAATCGTCTGCCATAACGTCAGATCCCCAACATTCTGTCTTTGATTCTGTGCTGGGAAAGGCCAGTAGGCTATACGACGTGCGAGTTTGTGGTTTATTGACATTTGGACTGTACCTAACGGGGAAACAGATCGTTTTCAACCATCTGTCACCAATTCCATGTTCCCATCTGCGCGGACAATGGCATGATCACTCCGATCCGGTCAGCAAGCTGGGGCACAGTTAAAAAGTATTGAAACCGCGTTGTATTTTCTTTCTAGAATAAGACACTGCCTGGTTGAGACAGGCGCGCAAAGCATTTACCGAACCGGATCCGGAAAAGGCACGAGAATAACATCGTCAGGCAAAGGGCAAACCACTGGATCCGGGATTCCCTGGAGGCAGAGAAACCGGAAAGACCAAAGGGCTGCAGAAAGGGATCGCAAAAACGAGGGGATGTCGCCATACTTTCATGCACGAAGGTCCCTAGAGTAAAAGAGAACCAAAGTGTTTGGTAATAGTATGGCAGTGTTCTTCTTGGCACGATAAAATCCTTCAACAAAGAGGCGTAGGTATATGAGCCCAATGTTGTACACACTAATGCCGTTCGGTTCCCCCGGGGTAATGGTCCAAAGCAAAGAAGGGGAAAGGTCCAGGGTCCAAAGGTACCTCGGGAATGGGATCCAGGAGAGGGGGGATTCTGTCAAGAAGACCAGGGCAAGGTATGCGGTCGGTCCTTGGTTGCTCGGGACATCGTGTAGTATCGGGTGGTGCTGGCTGGAAGGAGTCGGGTATCGCGCGCGCATCGGTCGTTCACCAAAGTCGAGTCGGAACTGTATTGTCGTGTACGCTCCCTTTCGAGGGAGAGGGGGAAAAGAGCAATCCTGCTGTGACTGAATACCTAGAAAGTAAATCCCAAACCCTTGAACATCACAGTTTCACCATGTACACCGTAGTATGGTCATCTCGTTTGTCTGTCCCGAATGAATATTTCGTCATTCAGAATGGTATTTCATTGACGCCCCGCAACAGATGTTGGGTAGAGGAAATCTAAGCAGTCTCGCGCTTGCCCTCCTTGAACTCCTTCTGTAGAATGTGTTAGCGAAACAAGCTCTCTTGTGGTTGATTGTCGCAAATCGGGGGGATCGAGGCGTACCAGAGCCTTGGCGGTACCGTGGAGAGCATGACGATGGTTGCGGCGGAACTTGGGGTCAGTGCCCTTGAGGGAAGGGTATCTGCAAGTCTTGGGCTTCTTGATACTGTTGTCGCGAAGATAAATTCGTCAGCACTCTGGGCTCATTTCGGGGTATCCATCATCTCCATCTCCTCGGATCTTCAAGTGGTGATGCTGGGGCGGTCGTACCCGTTGCGGTGAGCCTTCCGCGACTGGTTGTGCTGAGACGAGTTCTTGGACTCTGTTGAAAACGATCAGTATTCCATTATTTCGACATGACGATATTCTGGCAGCAATAGGGCAACATACTGGCCATTGCGACTGATTTCCGGCGTCAAACAAACAGACGATGTTCGGTAGGCTGCTGGGGTTGCAAGGTCAGACAAGCGAGTTTATTTCCTGCGCCAAATGTGGGAGAAATTTCCACTGCCCTAATTTGGTGGGAGTGGCTGGTGCGTGGCTGCAGCATGGGTGCGCCACATCGGCTGGGTTGGTTTGTCACTGCAACTTCCAGTTGTGTTTGGTGGAGCCGCCCGTCCAATGATTCTCTTGGCGCAACAACTCGGCTCTCAGCTTCAGCTCTGCGCCGCTGGACAACGAAATCACCAGCACCGTCGACAATAAACAAAACTGAACTCATAAAGGTCTTTTATCCAAGGGACATCTATCCACTCTATATAAACCAGATCCGGCTGAAAGATGAACCCAAGTACCAGCAGATCACCGAAATGTGAGTATGATCCCCCAAACATGACCGCCATCAAATGCAGCAGAAATACAGTACAAGCAGAACGTTAAAGTCATAAAACGGGCTTTTGTTATTCACAAAACGGAAGTCAGCGTCTACTTGGCAATGACGGGGGACGCAACCTTTGCCGCGGCAGCCAAAGCAGCGGCCTTGCCGAGCCGTTGCGACCGGAGCTTCGAAAGGAAGCGCATGAAGAGGATGAACATGAGCTCGACACTATAATGCAACATATCAGTATTTCGTTCAGACCAATATCGTGAAGAGTTTGCGCAACGTACCGCTCCTTGGTCATCATCAAGATGCCTTGTACAAGGAAGCCCTTGAGAAGCTGGGGCCCGATACCCTTGAACAAGCTCAAAGCGCCCTCGTTCTTGACAATGAACTCCATAACCTCAACGAAGCTCTTGAAAGGCTTGCCGTTACGAGCCGCAGGAGGCTTGGATTGCAGACCGACCTTGGCGACAATGAGGGGCTGGGTGACAATGGTAGCAATCGACTTGGACAACGCGCCGAGAACTAAAGGGGACTTGTTAGCGAAGCATCTCACAGAACCCTCGACAAATCAAACTTACGGAAAGCCTCCCAGGGCTTGAGGTTGCTCTTTCCAGGGAAAATAATATCCTTCAGCCTCTCGTACGCGCCGTATGTGATGGCCGGGTTGACAACCAGCACCAAGCTGGCCTTCATGCCTCTCCAAAGTCCGGTGATGCCATCCTCGCCCTCGACAACCTCCCGGGCGGTCTCGATCATGCCCTTCCTGTCCTCCTTGTTCTGCGTTTGCTGGCGGGTGGTGACGACCGCGATCGGGATGGTGAAAAGCTGGCCGAGCGCACCGGCAACGGCGCCAAGGGACAGCTCAGCGGCGGTCGAGGGGTGGGCATCCGATTGTTGGTACTTGAGATAAAGCGTGCGGACAATCGAATACCAGTAGAAGTAGGCGAAGTTGCTCGAGGTGACACCCAGTAGCGCACCGCTCATGCCGGCGTAAAGACCGGCCATACCCTCGGCATCCTTGATCTTGGTGATGGCGTCCCATGTTCCCTTGTAGTGAGGTTCATTGCCGGCCGCAGCCTCTTGCTTTTCGACGTCGACGGTCTTCTTGACTTGGACTTGGAGTTTTGTCTTGATGCTGTAGTTCTCACAAAGTCAGTGTCTGCTGGTCGAAAGAGCGCAAAGAATGATGGGTGTACACACAGATCAAGCGGGTATACAAGCACGTTGGCGAAACAAGCACCAGCAGCGCCAGCCGTGGCCTTTCCCCAGGGGCCCAATTGGACGGGCTTCGACTGTCCTGCCATTGTTGACTATTACTTTGATACCTAGCGTCTAGGAATTTCAAGGTATGCGCTCGAGTGAGAGTGTTTCAGGCGGAAAAGGTCGGTCCTCGGTTGGTTGGCGCAATCGCAGGGTCAAGATCTCCGATTAACGTGAATGGTGTGTAGGGCGGCAGGACCAGTGTGTAACTTGCGTAGATATGTGTGCGACAGCGCAAAAAGGCGGAGGAAAACAGAAAATGGGGGTTTTACAATTATCAAAAGTGAAAGGCAAGACGGGAAAGGATATGCGCTCCAATGGCACCAACACAGACTTGGACACGGGGAAGGAAATCGGTGACGACAAGTACGGACGGACGGGCGCTAGAAGGGGAGGTGCGGCCGGGTGGTTTTACAACGATTATTTCAAACGGTCCAAATGACATGTCCCGAGGCCGGCGGTGGGACTCTTTTCTGGCGGTCTCGACGGGGCAAGGAACCTCGCAAGGGATTCCAGTCCAGTCCTGGGAAAGTGGATGGGAAGTAAGCAACCACCAGGGACTTTCCAAAGGTCTTTTCCCCCTCCCCAGAAAAAAGAAGCCAAGGCAACCCGTGATGGACGATAACCGGATAACCACCGATAACCTCGGCAGTTCTCCAATTAATTTGGAGCAGTCCATCACTGCGACACGGCAGTGTCCAGTCTGTTGTTTTGTCCCTTTGCAGGCGGCATCTTGCAGGGCCACAGAGGACCTCAACGCCCCAATCAGATTGGGTTTTGCGACTTTGGGGTTGCGTTTCCGCCCCCACGATTGCGTTGATAAAGATTCCCCGGTTCCCCAGCTTTTCGAGTCATTTTCTCCGGTCTCTCTTTTTCAGATCTGATAAGGACGGCAACCTGACCTAAGAAAGACACCACTTCTATTTGATTCGACAACGAATCCCACGATGTAGGAGGTTAAGGGATATTTATACGCGACGCCAGCGACAACCAACCCCGTTTTTCTTTTCCTCGGGCTTGCCAACCCGAGCAGTCATCACAACTGAGCTTGATACGATGATGTAGCGCCGAGGCATCATGGCGACCGTCTCCATCTGTGGACCTCGCTCGTATCTCGATGATTTAGTCAGCCAGCAACAACCAGCCTTCGGGATTTTCTACCCTCGACGAACAGCTGAAGGAGGGATCGTTGTCGCCAGACACTGCGGATGGCCACGGAAACTGGTCGGTTCTACCATCAGATTGTCAATAGTCTTTTGAAGAGCAGAACATTGTCGCTTGACGCCTGACGACAAGGAAATCTGGGACACCCCGGAACCATCTGAGGGGATCCCCACAAGCGGACTTGTTACGCCGGCGCGCTGAAACAACATAGGAGTTGAAGAGGAGTTTGGGAACAATAACTCAAACCGGGCATTATGGTAGGCATTATGCTCTCAAAGCCTGTTTGAGGTGTTGAGTCAACAATAGCCCAAAGGACTTTTCCCCAAAGGCCGTCAAGTTCTTCTTTCCCGAACCAGTCCAGGTTGAAGTTGGATGATAAGACTACGGCTTGGAGAGTGGGAGATGAAGACCGGATATAAGTCTACCAGACCATCTTCCAGATGCCATGGCACAATTTTGAAGCGGCCTTTCCCGCTCTCCGGCATTTCATCCGAGGATCGGGCTCGGCGAGTCCGAAGGTGCTGACATGTAGGGAAAGACGCGTATTGGATGGTTCGGGGTTGATGGTCTGCTCCAAGACATCCGAGTGACGATCACTCTGCATCCAGAGGCTTGATTCTGATATTCCAAGAACCCCAAAGCATTGGCATAAGGCTGTGCTTGAACTGCGTACTAGATAGTGCTACGACACTACAGTAGCCTCCCTGGCGATCGTCAACCTATTGCGTTTGACAGACAACGGCGTCCCCGGGTGGCTGAGTAGCCAAGGTAAGTGACAGTTGTTCACCGTTCTCACCGATTCGGCATCCAAGCCATGATGATACTTGTGTGTGCAGACTGCAAATCCTTCGGGACAGTAACTGCATCTCCATCTTCCCTTGGCGGTGGTCCCATCACCTCGGCGGTCGGGAAACCCGAAGCCCTCCTCCATGAGTGTCCCAAATGCCTGACAGTGGCCGGTGCCGCCAACCGGGACCACCCGGCAATCAGGCTGAAGAGAACCTCGTTGGCCCCAGCGCATGCCGAGCCCGCTAAAGGCGCTAAAGGCCGCGATGCCCCACCATGGCCTCATGGCATGCGAGGCTCCAGGGCGCAGGAACAGCAGATCCCATCATCCCGTCATCTGGCGGGGCTCTTGCATCGGTATCCCGCTGTCCCGTTCTTTGGTGTCAGTACCTTATCGGCCGATGCGGGGTACCGTTGGCGCTGTTGACAGCGTTTGGAGTATGTTCGGCAACCGACTGGTCGTAGGCCAGGAACGGTAGAGAGCTGAAAATAATCATGCTAAGCTAGATTATTTCGCCCTCTAGGCCGAAATGGGTAGTAAGTTAAGCTTTAAATAGCTTCAATCACTGTCGTCTCTACCGATATTAGTAATACACTTTATAATTTATTTTTTTAGCATAGATGATGCTTTTTAAAATAGTTTTAGTATAGTAAGTTTTCATTATTTCTTAGTAATTATACTAGTAAAAGTTGAATTAGTAGAAAGTAAATAATATAAATAAAAAGTCAATACTAAATAGTTTGAAAAATACTAACTAAGAAAAAGACATTAACTTTAATATTTTCTTTTACTTATTAAAGTGTAAGGGATACAGCATAGTTGACACTGATGCTGGCCAAAAGAATCGATAAGGTTCTACGAAGAGAGAAGGAGAGAAAAGGACACCCTCTGGGCAGTCTGGCCGGCTGTCCTAAAAAAGGAAGACGTGCGCGCGCACAGGCCAATGTTGCCTGCCGCGAGGGTAGAGCACTCGCCTGGCAAGATTGCTAGGCATTTCAGCCGCGGACACTAGCCCCATGACATAAAGTATAATAGCAGTAACCTGAACGCTTACAAACTAATTTATACAGTAATTAATTGAAAAGTATTTTGATATATTGCTTGTTATTGTCGTCCCCAAATTTCTTTTACTACTATAGTCATGATAGTATTATATATAATATTTAGTTATAAAAGGATTACTTTAATACTTGTTGTTTGTTGCAATATCCTAACTGGCTTATAATAATAGTACCAGTTTAAAGATGCTACAAGGTGAAACTATGCACTTATAGCGGATCGTGCTGCAATGCACAGCTTACGTAGTTCCGTATCGCATAGTTGGGTACAAAATGAATAAATAACTAGAGCTAAAGAAGAAAAAGAGGAAGATATTAAGAGCTGAGCTCTAAAGTGCATTCTTATATGGAATGAGCTTAGATTCTGCCAGTCTCTACCGCTTTCCTTATCTAATCTCACAATGTGTGAGGGTTATAGGATCCATATCATTATAGAGCGGAGCGAAAGCGGTAGGAAGTACGACAGCAGTACTGAAGAAAGCAACGTAGTTATGACAGGCTAGAATGTATATGCCCAAACAGCCAAACCTACAAAAGATAGGACAATGTTCTGCTTGCAAGGCAGAACTTGAAATACACACTATATAGCTAATGCCAACTTGTGATAGTAGTTGCAAAGACAATAGAAGGATGTTGTAAAAGAGGTCTTAGAGAGAACTCTACTCTCAAGACAGAAGAGTACAGTAAACTCTGCACTATAAAAGTAGACTGTATTGCATTGCTTAGATTGTGCTTGCTTGCTTGCTTGCTTAAGAAGTGACTAACTAAAGGAGAGAAGAGGTCTTTATATACACGAACGTTAAGTATCTAGAAGCTTCCAGAGTGTAGAAGCTTCTATAAGTTAATAGAAGTGCTTTTAAAAGTACTATACTATGAAAGAAATGAACTGAATTTATGAGCTTCTGGTGCATTCTATGATGACAAATTAGTCTAGAAGAAATGCTGAACAAGTTAGAGAATTCCAGAATACAATGACAAAACTTCTGTATTCTAGCACGTTCTGTGAGCTGAGTTGACTGATTTTGTAAAAGAAATAGTTCAATCAGCCTTTTATACTACAAGGTAATACAAGACAGTTACAAGGCATAGTACTAGCTACACGTTAACAGTTAAGAAGTAAAGCTACGAACTTTTTTATTTCAATTAGAGGATTTTAGTTACTACTATTGTCTTTCAATATTTAAAATTGTAAGAAGTTGAGACAACAATAGTATATCATTTAAAATAAAATATATTATACTAAAAATACTACTATTAATAACTTTAATAATAAAAAATTCACTTTAACCATTAATAATTTAATTATTAATAGCTTAATTATTAACAAGTTAATTATGAACGATTTAATTTTCAAAGAGGGTAAGGTTAATAACAATAGTTTTATTATTTTAGAAGAAGTCGTTTAGTAATATTACTTTCTATAGTCCAAGGAAGTTATTAATTAGTATATTACTTAGCGTACTAGCTATCATTAATAAGAAATTAATAACCTCTTTAATAAAAATACTAATTAGGTTGATAAATATAGCAATAGAGGTTAATAATATAAAAAGATAATAATAATTAACATTGATAATAACACCACTAGTATTACAAGTAGCTAAAAACTAGGATTTATATAATTAAGATTGTTATAAAGGTGATAAAGCTGGCAACTCATACTATACTGGATTCGTACAAGTCTGAAATGTGGAGTAGGGAAGTAGTACGGCCAAAGCGATGCCTCCACTCTACTACAGTCAACTGGGGGTAAAAGTATCTAAAATTTTATACTGGCCCAGGACCAGTCAGTTGCCGAACATACCCTTGACAGCGACGATACGGCACTGTAGACTTAAGTACCTCAGCCTTGGGCCGCGCTACAGAAATTGTTAGGTAAGAAACAAAGAAACACGGGGAAAAGGGGAATTGACACAACCATCACAAGATCTGATATTGACCGCTTTTGGTGTTGCAAAGGTTCCGTTGTAGTAACTGGAGATATTTGACTTTTTCCATTCCCCTTCACACAAGTTCCAAGTTGTTCAAAACGGCCCTGGTGGTTTCAAACTGACTCGTCCACCATATCTGTTTTTCTCATTAAGGGCCCAATCCCACAACTCCCCTCACCAGTCAGCTCACCATCCCCCCAACCCCCAACTCCGTCATTCCGACCCCATCTCCAACTCCAACTCACAAGTCACCAGTAGCATCGCCAACCTGGACGTGCCAAGGTTCCACTGATAGAAAAGGAAGGGTTCTCGTTTCCCAGATAGGCCGGTAGGGCTTCCCCTGTCTCACCTGCCACGCCGTCCTGCAGCACAACGGCATTCACTCCGACTTGAGAAGGGAATTCGCCGAATCCCCACTGACACTCACTGCCACAGTTGGCACTATCGCGGAACAACTGCACCGCCCTGGCTCGAGTTCCGCAAAGGACTGGACGCTGGACGATCCGTTGGTGGCTCCTTTTGGCGAGTAAACAGAAGAACGGGCCGCTTACACCTCCGGCTCCCACGGCCAAAAGTTAAACATCCGGTGTGCTGGAGTCGAAGCGGAAGACGGATGGACACTTGCTGCAGCCAAGAACCACATCAAGGTGGCGTCCCCGGTTCCAGCAAGTGAAAGCTCGATACGCGAGGTCGCCCTCTGGGGTCCCGTTTCTTCTCGCGAATTATAGTACGATATCGGGCAACCAAGCCTCTTTATTCGTCTTCTCTTCTATTCTGTCCTTGGTTCGACGCTAGAGGCTGCCGTCATCTTGACAAGAGGAGAAGAACTAGTCTAACTAGTCTATCCATATCCGTGTCATCCATCCTTCCACAAGTACTTTGTTTTGAAGCCCAGTCGGCATTCGTCCTTAACCTCGCCTTTATCTATACTTAAACACCCATATATCACAAACATCTACCCAAACAATACGGTCCTAGGAGAGGAAAGTATGCATATATCTGCTACACCATCGTCATTGCCCAAGTGTCACGATGGAGGCTAGAGCTTCGGTAATATGCCTGACACCCCCATATACCATGTCTGTATAGAGCTATTTTTTTTTTTTTTGCCAGGAACACGAGCGTCGTCTCGCCGAGTCTCATGGCCAAGAAGCTCTCAAGCATGCCATTGCGGCAGCTGAGATCTACATGCGCGCAGCTGAAAAAGCCGCCAACCCTAAAGATCGCAACCGCCTTCAGCGAAAATGTAGCGACCTTATAGCCCTCGGCGAACGACTCAAAGCCAATGCCAAATCTGCCGCTACTTCTGCCCGCCCACCCGTGCCCGAATCGACACGGACCTTGACCATTGCCGAGAAAACCCTTATTCTGAAGTCGTCCAAGTTGCATGGCAACATCTTTCCACCATGGGAGAAGATACCCGATCCAGATGAGTTTGCCGCGTCAAAGGCAGCTGATGGATCCTATACGTATGTGATCCCAAGTTATGAGATGTAAAGTGTCATTGTTTAACTGTTCCATAGGGACCATTCGCCCTTTACTCTCTCCCCTGAACAGCAAGAGATATTTGCCGGTTGGAAGAGGCCGCATGAGATATTTGTGGACGTACCAGAACGGGGATCAGATGACCTGATGACTGCCACGGAAAGCATTGATCTCGGTCAGGATTTGGCAACCGACTGTTCGGTCGTAGCAAGCTTGTGTGCTGCTATCCGGCAATTCGGCCCAAGAACAGGCTCGGTAAGACATAAGATGGCCTTCGTACCACCAAAAGTATAGTCCCACTAACACATATCAGTTACTTCCCTCTCTCATGTACCCTTATGACGAGGACGCCAAACGGCCAACCGTCTCACAAAACGGCAAGTACATCTTCCGCATGTACTTCAATGGCTGTTGGCGCAAGGTACTCATAGACGACCGTCTTCCGACCTCTTCCTCTGAGCGCACGCTTTACGTGGTGGACCGGCGCAATCCACATCTGATTTGGCCGGCATTAATCGAGAAAGCCTACCTGAAGATTCGAGGCGGTTATGATTTTCCCGGCAGCAACTCCGGAACAGACTTGCATGCTCTTACCGGTTGGATACCTGAACAAATATTCCTTCAAAAGTGAGGGTCACTCCTTGCAACACTTGTCTCCAGAAGAGAATGGCTAACAAGATCGACAGCGACGACATCGAACTGAACGAGACATGGAACCGCATCAAGACAGCGTACGATCAGGGCAATGCGCTAGTGACACTCGGCACAGGAAAACTCTCTCGTGAGGAAGAGCAAACCCTCGGTCTAGTCAGGGAGCACGACTACGCCGTACTTGACCTGCGAAACGACGGTAACAACCGACTCTTTCTCGTGAAGAACCCATGGCGCGACAGCCTGGTCTGGACAGGCGTAGGATCAACAGCCACCTTGAGCACCGACAGAAGCGAATCCCCAGAAGAGAGCATGTCCAACACTTTCTGGATGACCTTTGAGGACGTCCTCCAACACTTCGACTCGCTCTACGTCAACTGGAGTCCCTCCCTCTTCCGCTTCCGGCAAGACCACCATTTCACCTGGACCATCCCTCCCAAAGCCGAAGAGCTCGTTTTCACACAAAACCCCCAATACAGCGTCCTCTCCCCCACCGGCAGACCAGTCTGGGTCCTCCTCAACCGCCACTGGCAAGACTCGGAACTTGACATCCTCCGCGAACGCAAGCAAGAACACGACTTCCACAGCATAAACCAGCCCCTGAAATCCCTCGGCTACATGTCCCTCTCCCTCTTCGCCTCACAACCCCCGGGAACCCGCATCCCACTTTCCGAAGGCTCCCATCACGCCCTGCACCAAGGTCCCTACGTCGACAGCCCCAACACGCTCCTCCGCTACTCTCCCACCCCAGGCGTCGCCCAAACCATCGTCATCGCCCAATCCGATCTTCCATTGCCTTCCTACTCCTTCAGCTTATCCTTCTTTTCCAACTCCCCCCTTACAATCTCTCCCGCCTCCGACCCGCTTCCCTACAACGAAACGATCACAGGCGCCTGGACCCGCCGCACAGCCGGCGGCTCGACAGTCCTCCGTCCTACGTCACAAACCCGCAATACGCACTCACGCTTACCCGCCCTTCTCCCCTATCTCTGGTCCTCAGCACCGAGCGGGCCGATAATTTGCCAGTTCACATCGCCGTCCTCTACTCCAACGGCGGCCAACGCGTCACGGCCGTCGTCGGCCGCGACCTCATCTGCTCAAGCGCCGAGTACCAACGCGGTTGCACTTTTGCTTCCACTTTACCTTCTTCCAACCCGAACAACACCACCACGACCTCTACCTCCTCCACGAAGTCCAACAACCACGGCAACCACGGCAACCACACCTCCCTAATAGACCCAGGCACCTACACCATAGTCCTCTCCACCTACGAACCAGGCCAAACAGGCCGGTACTCGCTCCGCGTCAGCGCCTCCTGCCCCTTCTCGCTCTCTCCCATATTATCCGACGCAGCAGGCCGACTCCGCACGCCCGCTCCATCGCCCGCCACCTTCAAGTTCCACGAAAAGGGCGAGACAAAGGTGCGCGCCCGCGTTGACGTCAGCAGGTTAACTCGTGCCAGCGTCTTGGCACGCTCGACCAAGAAGACACAGTCCACGACGACGACGACGGCGATGGTGAGGGTAGCGCTGGAGTTGGGCACGGTGGAGGGGAGGAAGAGGGTGTTGGCTAGCACGGCTTCGGGGGGCGGTGGTGAGCTGGCGGCTAGTTTGAGTTCGCTTAGTCTTACTGACAGACTTGGAGGGATTGGCGGGATCGGAGGGGGTCATGGACATGGACATGAAGTGGTCGGGACCGAAGGAGGGTATACCACAAAGGGGGAATTCGCGGATGCTAGTCTTGGACTAAGGACGAGGGAGGTGGATCTGGATCCGAATGTTATTCGGAGTTATGGGGGGTTGTGGTTGGTTGTTGAGCAGATTGGTGGTGGTGGTGGTGGTGGTCAGAATCAAGGGCGAATAAGTGAGGAAGTAGAAGGAGGAGGAGTGCATGTGGAGATATTGAGTGATGGGGTGGTGAACATCGGGGGTTGGGAGGTTGTTGATGAGGACTGATTATCTTGAAAGAGACTTGCTAGATGTGGGATTCTTTGATCTGGGGATATGTTTGGCAGTTATCTGCTTCCCCAAATAACCACAGCTTAGTGTATAGAACTTATTGGAAGGGAAAAATTCTCGTTCATCTTTTCGAACATTACCGGTTGTGACATCCAGAAGGCAACCGGTATCAGCATCCCGCTTGCTTTGAGAATTTTGCATGTTAAGCGCGGGCTCCCATCCATCAATGATAGGGGATCATGCATTCATATTTTTTTGCCGCTTTTATTTTTGGGGGGTTTAACTAACCTCGCTACAGTTATCAAACACGAATTTAAATCCCTAAACCATAGTAGCGTTAAAGATCCCCCAAGACCTGCTACCAACAAACGGTAGCATAGCCGGGACTGGCAACTTCTACGTAACCGCACAGGCAAGAGCGATGGCATAAATCCTTCTCCCTCTACCAAAACCTCGCCACCCAAAAGGTTCTGAATGGTTTCTTGACATCACCTCGCTTTTTTTCTTGTTCGCTCAGCGTCTGTGTTCAATGATTCCTTCCTCCGCTGGTGGCCATATGATATGGCCCTATCTCTCAGACGAACAAACCGTGGTACCTATGACTGCGCTTGCAGCAAACGGTAGAGCGGAAATATATGGCCACATCAAACAATGTGTTCCGTCTTGATGTCCGTTCTGGTGGTAATGCTCCGCCTTCTGTCTGCGATTATGATGATTATTATCGATACTATTGCCACTGCCTCCCTCGCCCTCCTCGTTAATTTGAGGCCGTTGACTTGCTCCTTTAGCGGGTACACCTCGCGCACATATTCCTCCAATCCTCTTAAGCTTTCCTACAGCTATAGGTGACTGCACGTGAGCCCAGAGGTGGGAGCTTCGCCTACTTGTTGTTCACATGCTGTTTTCCCTCCCATCGCTCGTGAAAGCGATCAGTGAACCGGCAGGAAAGCTTCATGGATCTTGGTGTGCCGCCAGGTACCGAACAATATGATGCAACTTGACGAAGAAATAAAGTGTCGAAGAGTTTGTATATGTCGGTAAAGCCTCATTTGTGTGATGTGGTTCTTCTCGGTGGCATGGTAGCTGGCCTGGAAATGGTTACAGTTCTCGAAGTTGATGTCGTAAACAGAAACGGATATGTTGTTGAGGAGAGCGGGCTCCATGTCGCAAATATGCACATTACTCAAAACAAGCACACCGCATCTCACCTGAGGATATAGGATCTAAGCAAATCCTAAAGCTCCTCTTCTTCCTCGGCCTCCTGGAGGCCATTACCAAAGGAGGAATGGCCATTGCTGAAAGCCAAGAGAGAAATATGAGGAGAATGGGGAACGTATTTCATGGTGGCTGGCATGAAATCGAGGTCTATCAAGTCATCCATGGAGTTGGATGCAGTGGTAGGAAAGGTATCTGTTCACGGTTGTCAGCGTTACTATGAAAAGGCATCACTCCCTGAAGAGAAATGGGTTTACTCACCTCCAGCATTCTGCGAAGCTGAGATCTGATTGTGGAGATTGCCCTCGTTGACCGTGACGGGGGCGTTCTCAGTGAGAGCAGAGAGAGCGGATTGCTTTGCATCCTTATCCTTCATCAACTTTGCCCTCTTGATGGCAATCTGCTTTGCCTTTTCTGCGAGAGCCGCCTCTTCCTCCTCAATCTCGCGAAGGAGCTGCTGCTGCTGCTGCTCTCTCTCCTCACGTTCGCGAAGGAGTTGTCGCTGCTTCTCTGTCTCCTGATGTTCATGAAGAAGTCGCTGCTGCTTCTCTGTCTCCTCGCGTTCGCGAAGGAGCTGCTGCTCCCTCTCACCCCTTCCGCCGCCGCGATAGTTGACACCGGGCTTTCCGGCGTTCTTTGGACCTGTGGGTGCGTTTAGAGGGGGAGCACGTTCACAAAGGGGCGCAGCATGCTTGAGCGTCTGAGCATCAGTGGTCTTGGAGTTAGAAGGTGCAGATTCGTCCGAGACCTTGACGTCGACTTCATCACCACCCTTGATCTTGAACTTTGGTTCCTCCTTGGGCTTGACATCTTCCTTCTGCGCTGCCTGTGTCTTCCTGTTGACGTCGATCTTGCAGCCGTGAACACCGACGGAGGAAGAAGCCTTGTCGTGAGGGGTCATCTTTGCCTCGTCTTTGGCCTTCGCCTTTTCGGCCGTCGGCTCGGTTTGGATTTTGGCCTCTTTCTCCAGGGTGGCCTTGTGGTCGGCTGTAGTATTGGCATTGCCATGAGGAAGATGGACCCCGTTTTTGGGGCCAGATTTGCCGCTCGCAGGGTGGGAGAGGGCCTTTGCAAAAGTAGGGGCCAAAGAAGCAAGCGCTATGGCCGTGGAGGCGGTAGAAGATGCCATCACTACTTTAGCAGGCTCTTTCTTCGCTTCGATCTCTTTCTTGGTCTTTTTGTCCGCAGTGCTGGGCTCGCTCTGAGGGCGACTGGTGGCCGCAGTCGGAACCGTTGTGTCCTGCTTTGGGCGTTGTTTTGGGAGTTGGATGAGCTCGGCTTTCGTAGCTCACTTGTCTTCTTTTCCACGTATTCTTCCTGATAATACCTGACATCCCCAACGGAGACAGGTTGATCGTCATTGAAGAAGGCCCACACTTCATCATCCTCTTCTTGAGTCGCAAGTCTGCTCATCCTGTGACCTCCTCCTCTTCCGCGTCCTCCTCTTCCCCTGTGCAAAGTTGGTTGCCACTGGGGTGGCATGGCTCCAACCGTGTGACGAGATTGCTCAAGAGACGAGGAGGCCCTCGTTGCTGGAGCATGAGACGTCTTTGGTCCAGACGTTGGGGCAGTGTCTTCGGGGGCAGCTATGATGGATGGTTAGAAACACACATCATAGGTAGAAGAGCTGATTGGCAAACATACCTTGCGGAGCAAACATGGAGGTCTCGATACCGTATGGGGACACAGATGGAGTGAGCCCGCTGTTGGCGGAAGGGGGTGCCACAATAGGAATGGCAAATGGACGAGGGTTGCTGTTCTGAGGCGTAAGCGAAGGCGTGAAAGGAAGTCCGCTCTGCTCCTGTGTGACGTGCACGGGCTGGGCAGCAGCGCGAGAGGTAGCGTGCTGGAGGAGAGAGCCTCTGTGACCGCCTCCACCTCGACCGCCACGCACAGAAGGGGAGCGAGGAGGTGTGCTTGGAAGACCTCCACGGCCTCGACCAGCTCCGCCTCTGCCACGGGCTGAGGGGCGCCCTCTCTGACGACTGCCACCTCTCGTAGCTTCTGCTTGGAAAGCGCGGGCCTCCTCCAGTTGCTTTGCGAGCTCCGGGTCTAGAATCATGGTTGCCACTGGCTATCGAGGTGGTGCGTGGTGAGGAAGGGCACAGGAAGACGGTTGTGGTTGAATGAATGATCGAGCATGAATGTTGTCAAGGTGAGCGGGAAGAGGGGAAGATTGTCCGCAGTATTGTGGCACGCTACGCGCAATAAAGAAGAGTAAGTTTAGCTTTTTGCTGGCGGCGACGACCTTCAAAGGGCAGTCTCGAAGGTAGAGGAAGATGGATGTTGACGAGTGGAAGAAAGTCAAAGCACCCGGAAGAATATCAGGCCAGAAGGGAGTGTGCATTTTCAGCGGGACCTCAGGTCTTGGTGTGCCGTGTTAGGATACGCGCTTTGATTTGGGGCATTTGAGGCGGGAAGGCGCGTGTGAGTGAGAGATTGCGCTTTCCATTACCAGAGGCATTCCTTCCATTTCCTCAAGTCCCACACTCGTCATTGGCGGAAGAGATGTGTGGAGAAAGATCGGTCAAGCACATATCGTATAGGCCGTAGATACATATACTTATGCCAAAGGTTTCAAAGGTACCAGGTAGAAAGTAAAGGCAAGCCTTGGATTTAACGGTCGGGTGGGCATATATGGTCTTTCATGGGTAGAGTGTCTGTCGGCTCTAGGAAGCATGACGCGCCTCTTCCATCAGGTAAGTCACCCGACCCTCAACCCATCCGAGCCTTAAATGAGCAAATAAATCCATCTCTGGTGAGTCAAGCGTATCGAAGCTGCCTGGCCATCCCATCCCGAGCTGTTTGAGCGGTATAAGCGTTTGTACCGGAAAGCCCAGGCAGAGTATCGCAAGAGCGAGTCTAACCAGCAAGTTTCTCAGGAAAGTGTCTCCCAGAAACCATGCCGGTCGTATTTCCACAAGATTCTGTTTGTGCTGCCTCCCGCCACTAAGAGCTCTTCGTCTTCTTGCTTCCGATCTTGGTCGGCACCGCCTCGATATTCGTCTCTCGGAACTTTCCCGAACCGGCCTCCTGAAGCCATGCTACCTCAATGGGAGTCACATGTTCCCTTACAAAGTCCACAAGGCCCTTTGCCTGCGGCGCGTCCGCTCTCACAGCAATGCTGGAAACTCTCGGAATACCCAAAGCCGTTGCTAGCCTTTCCTCGCAGGACTTGGAAAGTCCAACCAGTCTCATCTTTTCTTCCTTTGGCTGAAACTTGGAGGCCACGGCGACCATTTGAGGGAAATGGCAGTTGAACGCTGAGGACTGGCCTGAGCGGGCCACAAAAACGATGCTGTAAGGAGCCTTCTTGCCACCACTAGACACTTTGTCATCGTGCTCGTCACCTTTGGCTTCATCTGTTTTCTCACTGACAGCGACAGCTGGAAGATCTTGCAGATTTCGAGAAATGGTTGACAAGCCGACATCAACATAGGCGGCTAGTTCTGGAGCAGGAGGCACTTGGGGAGTTTTGGCATCTCCTTGTTGTTCAGCCAGCTTCCGCTTCCGCTTCCCCTTGGATGGGGTTACGAAGGTTCTTCGGTATTGGCCTAGAGGAGACAGTAGGCTATAGTTCAATGTTAGACATAGACAAGGATTACAGCTGCAGAGTACTTTGGGACGACAGAGGAGCATTTAGCCGATGGTTTGGTTGACTTACTGACAAAGGAGTTCAAGGATAGCATCTTGGTTCTCCTGGCTGATTTGGGGCCTGGGGAAATGTGTGAGCAAACGATTGTCACCTGGGAATTACAGAGAATCTGCGAATGGGAGAGTAACCTACCATTCAACAGCGGAAAAGGGAGTGTCCAAACGGTGGACAATCTTTTTTCGGTCCATTGTCGCTTCTCAGGGATGGCAAACTACCTGGCTGCGTCGATTGCAAACTTGGGATTTAATAAGGAGGCAAGGGAGATGTAAATTTGGGAGCTTTCGAAAAGGAGTCGGTTTGAATCACTAATGCGTGTTGGCAAAGTAGATATCGTGCCTAGTAGTGGGTGCTACGAATATGTTTACTTGAGATTCGTCGGTGCGACACTCAGCGATGCTGCGATAGTGGTCAGTGAAATCTTTTGCGTATTTTTCGTATATACCGAATCGTGAGGAAGAAACGTAATGGTAAGCGCGCGTAATTTGCGCCCGCGTGAGATTACCGCCGCCAGACCGGTACCGGTATTTGCATGTACCCGTGGGGCTGGGTGGAAAGTTTTAGTCGGCCCTGTCCCGTCGCCCCGCAGGGCCCATCAGCTTTTTAAAGTTCCGCACCGTGATCATCCAAAGTGGACACACCTGGATCGGGTGGTCAGGTAGGTGTACACCTTCTGCACCACGCCACCAATATTTGGATTAAATGTGCGGTGCCCGCCTGTCTAAAACCGACAGCACGGGTGCAAGTTTGACAGAGCCGCTCGGCTTCGGTGCGGAAGTTTACTCAAGACACTCTAGCTGAGACAGGGGCGTGGAATCTGTACATACAGGCACTACATGTGGTCCGCGATATCAGATCCACGATCCATCGATCCGTCTCCACCACCAGCTTTTCTCGGGCACCGTTGGAGCATGTCCCGGCGGTTCATGGACCAGGAACAGGGCACATACCTATTACCTTAGGCGGCATCCTGCTGCACGTCACTCGGTTCCAAATTAGGGATGCCTCCATCAACCAGAAAGCCGAATGTTGTAACTCCAAGATCTTGGGAGCTTGGGTACAAGCTGATTAGACTACACAGTAGAGCTATTGCCAGATTTCCCCCCCAATCATGTCGCCACTCGTGACGACTCTGCTCGATGTTGGACAAATTCCTCGAGAAGCAAGAAGTATGTAGCGAGCCTGAGCTAGGTAGGTAGCAAATTTGAAATCGCGTTCGAAGTCAAGGCCTATGGATCAATTTCCATCGAGACCTGCCTGGCGGCACAGATTGCTGCGGTTTCACATTGACCCGCCCGGAAGAACTGATGACCATTTCCACTTGAAGCAAAGCAATCTGGCAACGGTCAGCAAGTGAGGGTTAGGTATTTCCACTTCCTGGGTTGTTACCTACCTAGGTACATATCTCAACGTCACCCAGCATGTTACGGTCTTTTACGGTTGGTATCCATTCATCTCGTAGGGCCGATGTAGAGACAGGCCCAAGAACATGGAATATCTGAGAGTCCGGTGTCACTCACAAGATGCCCTGTAAATACCGCGTAATACCCCGCCATTCCTCGTAAAATACCCCGCCTGGGCGTAGTTACGGCGGGTGTACACTGTACCCCGGCACCTGTGTTAACGCATCCCCGCAAGAACCACCTGGCATTAGGTCAGTAGGTAGCCGTCCATTTGGCACACTCTTTTTAAGTGGAAATTCCCATCCATTCCTCTTCCCACTCTGACAGCTCGCTTCTTCCCTCGTCGGAAATCTGGAATTTGGTACCTAACGATCTTTCCCCCGTCCACAAACGTCCGCGCTGCGCTTGGCATTTGGAACAGCTCTTGATCCTTGCCCCGTGTTTCGTACCTCGCTACTACCTTGACACCTCATTTCTTCTACTACTATTACCTACCTTACGCTACCTATCAGACGAGCTTAGACGCGACCGATTCTTACTTCCCTATCGTGGCTGTTCTGGCTGACGTCACTCTTCCATTCACCTGTTGATCCACCTCGCGCCTGTCTGTCCCAGGTGTGTACGACACGCTTCAAAGTCGGCACCACCAACCTCGATGAGGGCAAGTGTCAACTTGTCAACTCGACCACAGGACTCCTTGTGGGCATCATCACATCACTGCCTTCCGGTAGGTACGTATCCTCCTTCGTTCGATCATTGCTTTGGATCCCTCCTCCCACTTCCCCCTAAGCGTTGAGGCTGGGCTGGCCAACAACAGTCATTCCCCCATCATCACACTTGCAGTCGTTTCGATACCACGAGGCTGCGGACAATACACTGCCAAGGCCGACAACATACATCAGAGGTGTAAGCAACCCCTGATATGGCTATCGGGGACGGGCAATAAGTGCAAAAGCACAGCAGCTAGCCTGTAGGTCGCCTTTGAGGTCGCTTTGACGAGACTGGTGATTAGGTGTTTGCTAGTGCACATTCACATGAACCTGACCACTCCTTGTCTGACCATCAACTGGGCTATCTTAGTCCTGCCTACCCTGCCACTCCTGCCTGCCTTCCCCTGCCATCCGTACACTCTACACTAGCCCAAAGTACAAAGTTGGGCACTTCAGGTTCTGGGTGGAACAAGCCGTCCCACCGGCTCGGGCTGTACCTGTCATTCACTCCTCCACTGTACAGTAGGTAGCAGCCCCGGAGCCGCCTCCCCCACCTGCAAGGTAGCTCCCGTCATTCCATCATTGAACCCCTCCCGATCCTGTTTACCCACACCCCTTGCCCTCCCCCGCCAGTACCTTTTTCTCCCACTCGAGCTTTGGCTTCCACCTGCCTTCCATTCCCCCCCACTTACCACAACTATCACCTCCCTCGACCGGACCTCACAAGTTGGATCTGACATCGATTCATCTATCCACCCGTCTCGAATGACACTGACCCGCCATTTGTTTAGTCGTATTGACGGAACGAACCGCGAGTAGCGAACCAGAGCACGGGAGCGTGCTTCCAATCCAGGCATTTCCCCTCTGCTTTCCTTGCACCACAACAAGCACCATCACAGAAAGCACCACGTACAACCCGGACTTGAACAAAGAGTCCCGTCGCGTCCAACAATCTGGCCGTCCCCATCTCTCTCTCTACACTTTGCTGCCCACCACCCCGTCCGTGGGCTGGCAACACACAAGTAGTAACATACTTCGCTTTGCATAGCCACTTCAACCCATCTCATTACAAGCCCCCGCCTCGAGGGTTGCTTGGAGTGGAAGCACCTTGGTGTTTTGAACATCATTGACAGACAGCCTTACGCCTTACCCCACAACACTCTGATACTTATCGATTCGCACCTCCATTCGCCATCCATCTTCATTGGCCTCTCAGCCGGCGTGCCCTATCCCCAGGCCGTTTTCTCTGAAGCTGCCACATTCCTCAGCCTCGTGTTGCTCGCTTCGGTAGCTATACGTGCTTCTCTGGCCCGTTGCATTCACATTTCCAAGCAACGAGACTCTTTCATCCATACATGCTAAAGACTAGGGTACTTAGAAGCCACCGCCGAGCTTCCTCGACCGGAGCCCAAAAATCCGAGCCGGCCACCATCACCCGCAGCTCTCCTCTGCGTAATACAGATGGCTCAAGACCAAGATCCGGCAGCCGATGAGTCCCTAGAACGTGCTATCTCATCTGAGCATAGCTCGACAAAGGGTTCGAATCCTTACATGGATACCGATCTGCCCTCACCCAAGCGCAGGCGTACTTCTCGCAGCGACCCATCTCGAAGCCGATCCATCGATTCGCCCTCCTCTACAGGGCTCTCGTACGATTCTCCCGGCATCTCGTCTACCAACCCGGTACCTGAAACCAAGACAGATCCCGACACGATGGATAGCAGCAGTGGCACAGAGCGGCCTACCGTTCCAAATGCTCCCCGTCCTGCCACCCCAGAGCCAAAGGCTACACACCCTGAGCCTTCCTGCTCGCGGTCAAATCGAGTCACCATAAACGTGCGGACACCTTCTCGCGCTCTCGATACGATACCTTCGTCGCCCACCTCAGCCTCTCTACCGAATTCCGGAGAACCATTGTCGTCAGTCGATAACGTACAAACAAGCGTGGAGGCGCCCGAGGTTGACATGACCCGGGATGATGCCATTCAGGATGCTCTTCCCTCTCCGGTCTCAGATGCCAGTAGCCCTGTGATTGAGGTTGCGATGGGGAATGAGACTGACAACGTCTTCACTTTGGAGGAGACCCTTGTCGTGGAAGAGCCAGTCACGGATAATATGCCCGACTTCCCTTTCCACGAAGAGCACGAGACCTATCGGGATACGATTGAAAAACTGGCCCCCCTTCTAGGTAATTATTCTTGAATGATCCGCTCTCGTAAACTAGTTCATGGATGTTAATAATCACGCAGATGAGCAGGTTGGCCGAAACGTTGCTCTGTGGATTGGAGACTTTCTGAATCACATGAGAAATGTCCCTATTTCTGCAGTCACTGGCTGGTACACGCGATTCACTCCCCTGTGGCATTCGCTTCCTACATTAGCTTCAGCATGGTGCGACCGGCGGCACTTATACCCGAGCGTCAAGACTATCAAACGCGAGCCGTATGGCCTTTATCAGCAGTTTGCGAAGCTCACTGCGTTCTTCGTCGAACTCGATGTTCACCGCCTTGAGGAATGCGCAACTGTGGAAGAACGGAGGCAGGTGCAACTTGTTTCACTCGGTTACATGCACGTTCTTTCTGCACTCATCAACCACGATGGGTTCTATCAACAGCCGGACGACGAAGGGTGGAGTTACGTCTTGGAAGCCTCACATATCGTGGACGCGTTCCTCAATTATGGCGGCAGCCCTGCCCTCACACCCTTCCACGTTGGACGTTTTACACAACTCGTGTCCGAGTTGTTGCCCAAGAACCCCAGACTCATCAACGACCTGGCATGTGTGAGCTTTCTCTTCTGGGCTATCACACGAAAAGTCATTCCCCTCAGGTCAGAAAACCCAACCTACCTGAACCAAGATCCTGCCAAGAGCGTTATTTCCTCGGGATATGTCGTCTACAAAGCTCTTTCGCCCAAGCTGGAGGCCATCATCAACGGCGATGACCAAAAGCATCTTCTTTGGGAACCCACACTGCGCCACCTCCTCTCACTGACAGGTATCTACCATCATTGTCTCGCGGCAGATGGCACCACTTCCATGCCCGTGATAACAACATCAAGGACAAGGCTCGACCATTTCAGCGCCCGCTTTATCCCTGAAGGCTGTTGCGTATCTGTGGAAGTTTCGAATGTTTTGCACTCTCATCATGTCCGGCCAAATGCAGCTTCGGATACGATCCGCGGTGGGAATGTGCTCCGATTTGATTGGCTTCTACAAGAGATACAATAACCACTCAGACGACACCAGTCCTGCCTTCCTGCAGCACATTGCCCACTATCTCATGGAATCTGGCCTGGTATCCTACATCTTGGGACCCAAATGCCATCCAGAGATTACGCTAGAGTCCAGCAACATCATTGGCTTCCTGGCTGTGACCCGGACATATTCCACCGAACACACCGACCTCATGTTCCAGACTATCCAGTCAACCCAGGATCCGCGGATATCCAGTGCGCTCATAAACATGATCAGCAAGATCGTACAGCTTTTCAATCCAAGCGATCTCTTATACTTCTGTACAAGGGTGGAAGCGATGCCTCTGGACTCGGTCACCTCAACCGTGAGGGACTTCTGCACTCAGGTCATTCAGCAGCTGACTGACAAGCTGGAGAGAATAGGCAACATTTCGACCCCCTATTCATTATGTGTTCGCCTCGTACGGGATTCTTCCGTCTTTGGGTCACAGTCTCAGATTGCTTACCCTGAAATCCACCACTACGCAATACAGAAGTTCTCGGAGCTGTTGAGGGAGGGTCCAACTGAGGAGATTCGCATGCAAACCTACACGCAGTGCTTGGGAGATATTTCTTTGAGAACCCAATATGCACTGGGAAGCCTATGGATTTTGTCCAGGATGACGCGCTCGTCCGCGGGCAGGGAACTCAAGTTGCTGGCTAGGCAGCATGACCTGGTCAGAATTCTCGTTGAGGAGTTTGAAGGCTCGATTCCTACCGCGCGGGCTGCCGGGTTTCCTCCGGTTATTAGCGGCTATGCTAATACACCTCGAAGAGAGCTTCTGTCCTGGGTTCTCGGCGATGGGTCTCCCGAGATTCCCTCCGATATCAGCATGAAACTTTGGAACCTGCTTGTTGGTCCAGAGGCGGCATGCGAAGAAGACCGGACCGCGGGATGGAAATTGCTGCAGGAGAATTCCAAAGCAAAAGTTGCGTCCACTTCCTTCACCGACTTTCTCCCATCGCTTGCTCCGGAGTTCTTTACCTTGGGCACAATTGACTTCATCCGCACCGGCATCTTGCCGATCATCCATGCTCCGCGTATCCTCGTCGAAGATACAGAGAGCATCGGCCATTTTGGGATAGAGCAACTTTGGCGCATTATCCTATCGGTACCGGAGGGTAGTATTGAAAAGCCAGCCATTGACCTCCTTGTAGGGGAGGTATATATGGGAAACAAGTCTCACGGCCCGGTTCCCCTCCCCATCGCTCGCCAACTACACTTGGCCTTGGCCGAACGTTGCCTTGACCAGCTGATCTCGGCGGCTAAGGAATTGAGACGTCTTTGCATCGATGTCTCCAACGGGAAGTGTAAGATGAATGACACGATGACCCTAGAGCAGCAGGTATGCGACCAGGAACGCCTTTGCGTCCGCCCGCTTGCCGTTCTCACAGCTTTTCATCGGGAGTATAAGAATAATCCCAAGTTTTCCGCACCTGATCTTCGCGCTCTTAGCCTGTATCCACCGAAGCAGGTCGAGGGAGACCCAGCTGAACTCAAATACCAGTCGTTTGATGGCGAATCCCAAACCGACGTACTTCCGCTCAGTATCGGCAAGCTCAACACGGCCCGGTCATTGTTTGGAAGCTTGCGTGAGGTCACGGGGTTTGGTAACTACCGGATGTATTACCGAGGAAATATACTCCTACCTCGAGAGGAGTTGATGTGCAAGTCGCTGGAGGAACTGCGTATTCATGACGGCTTGATCCTCGTCAAACGCGAAGCAGACGACAATGCTGCATTACCTAGCGAGAACATACCTTCCGGAGCTTCACCTGTTGAGGTTGTCATTCTGCGTCATTTTGAGGAGTTGTATGAGTGCTTGACAATGGAGAAGATTTCGGAAGAGGCAAGCTATCCCCGTGTCAATTGCTCCGACGGCTCTTTTACTAACACGATGCAGATATATGATCTCCTAAGCCAACTTCCGGCCGATGAAAACATCCTGAAGCTCATTGATAAGCCTTCAACAACCCACCGGGATATCTTCCCGACGGATCAGCCTTTCAAGGCCAAGTATTCCGTCTATGCCCTACGAGAATATATCGAGCCTCCAAAAGAAGGCGTTGTCAATCACCACGCTGAGGGTGTCAACGGGAACGAAGATACAATCAACCCACACAGCAAATCTCTGCTTAGAGGCTTGCGCATTGTGGTTGATGCGATATCGGACCAGAGTTTGACCCGAAACTGGCCTAGTCATCAAATGCAGCTTGACTGGATCTTCAACTTGGTAGAATGCTTGGTTCTCATACTCCAAGGTAAGCGTCTCAACGCTTTGATACACATTGTGACACGTACACTAACACTTGCAGATCCGCTCCTACCAAACTCGGCTATCGACCTCATCGACGCAACATTGCTGGATCGGTTGGTCAGCATTCTAGTCTCCTGTCACAACAGCGCAGTCGAACACACTGTTCGTCGCATACAGGTCTGCCTCCACAGCATCTTGGAAGCCTGCTCGATGAGTCCAGAACTCATGAAAGCGTGCTTCGAACATCATGACGTCCCCACATTGCTCGCGGATCTGTTACTACATGACCAACGCGCAAGCGTTAGGCAGAGTACAAAGGAGATGTTGCTAGGGAAGTTTGATCTTGGTGTCCCCACCGATCCAGGAAGGGTTGCTCAGGGCTCAGAGACGTTGTCTGCTGGTGACAACCCCTTCCGCGCATACCTATGGCCTATCATCTCGGGCTTTGTGCGGTCGGCCATGAGTGGCCCCGGTAACCCCACAGAGTTTTTCGAACTTTGCCAGAGCATGTTGAAGACTCTGGAAAGTTGCGACTCACATCTAGTTGACGTTCAGAAACTTTCCCAGGAGTGTATCGGATTGCTCCTTGAGTATCAGACCTTTGAGGACCCTACACAACCCTCTAAGGTGGATGTTGCCGTTAGCGGCCTGATCGATCTGATCTGGGCGATGGTCAGCGGGCATCAGGATCTTGGAGACACACTGGCCGGCGTCGCTCGCAAAATCTACTGGCAGCATCTCTATCCGCCTTTGGGCACAAAAGAGGCGGAGAATTCGAGGCCCATAATTACCGATACCACGAGGGATAAACTTTGGGGCATCGTTCTGGTCCTCGTCGCCGAAGACCCAACACAGGTTTCATGGCTCATCGGGGACTTGAAGGCCTTGACCCCACCACGCCCCGACCCAGAATACCACCCCTACTTGTACGAAGTTCCTCTGCCGTATGAGCGGGAGAAAGTTCTCAGATCTTCAGCCGGCTATGTGGGACTGAAAAACCTATCCAACACGTGCTACTTCAACTCTTTGTTGACTCAGCTCTACATGAACACGGACTTCCGTGAGTACATTTTGCAAAGCCCAGTACGGAACGTGGTTGCGGGGTCTCAGAAGCTACTCCTTGAGATGCAGAGACTCTTTGCGTTCATGCAAAACAGCATACGTCGCTTTGCCAACCCGGATGACTGCATTGGGAGCATCAGAACGTACGAGGATACGGTGATCGACGTCACTAACCAGATGGATGTCGACGAGTTCTACAACCTTCTTTTCGATCGATGGGAAGGGCAGTTTCCCAACACTGCGGAGAGACGCCGGTTCCGCTCATTCTACGGAGGACAGCTAGTCCAACAGGTCGCCTCCAAGGAATGCAGCCATGTCTCCGAACGGCTGGAACCTTTCTCTGCCATACAGTGTGACATCAAAGGGAAGACCACTTTGCAAGAGAGCTTGCAAGCATATGTGGATGGAGAGATTATGGAAGGCGAGAACAAGTACAAGTGTTCGGAATGCAACTGTCACGTTGATGCTGTCAAGAGGGCTTGCCTGAAGGATATCCCCGACAATCTCATCTTCCATCTGAAACGTTTCGATTTCAATCTGCGTACGCTTCAGAGGAGCAAGATCAACGACTTTTTCTCTTTTCCCGACAAGATTGATATGCACCCCTATACCATGGAGCACTTGAAGAATCCAGACGAGGACCAGCAAGAGGATGTCTTTGAGCTTGTCGGGGTCCTAGTGCACTCTGGGACGGCAGAGTCAGGCCACTACTATTCCTACATTCGTGAACGGCCGTCGAGAAGCGAACAGCCGGTGTGGGTTGAGTACAATGATGACTCGGTGACAAACTTTGATCCTAGTCAGCTGGAAAACGCCTGCTTCGGCGGCATCGATTACAGATCAAGCTCCGACCACAACGGCATGCACTTTGAAAAGTCTTATAGTGCCTACATGCTGTTTTATGAACGGTCGTCATCTCTTGCAAGGAAGCAACAAAAGCTTGTCGAACTTGGGCAAGCCAGCCCGCTCCGGGTCGACATGTTGCCCTACCTAAAACCCTGGATTGGGGAGGACAACATGACATTGCTGAGAAAACACTGCTTGTTCGACCCATACCACACACGGCATGTGTGTCGCGCCCTGGAGCTGATGAGGCAATCTAACGGTCATCAATGCACTCCAGATCATGCGATTGAGTGCGAAGCCATTACGATGGGGCTCGGCCATCTGGACCAGGTCGCTTCGAAACTGAAAGATCTGCAAGACTTCCGGTTGCTGGCAGAGGAGATCGTGCAACTCTCTGGGGATTGTCCTCACTCGAGCCTAGAGATCTTTCGGTGCTCTTCTGGGCCGTATGAGCCATTACGGATGCTTCTGCAGAGAAATCCTGATGCCGACGTTCGCCAGAAGACGCTCGGAATTTTGATTGAGGCGCTCAAGGTCATCAAGGAACAGTTACCATCGCGGTACGGTTTGCCGTCTCTCGATGCGAATGACGTTGATTTCCAGGATTCAGCCGTGGAATATGTCATGCTTCTTTTTGAGACCCTTTTTGCGAACATCTGCTCGACCACGAGGTCGTGGCCTGAAGTATTTGGTTTGATGGGGGCGTTCGTCAAGCTGGGACGCCACGAGATGGCGCATTACTTGAAGAGGCCATTCCTCGAGATTCTTCTGAAGCTCATCATGGCTGATGCAAATTTGCGCATTGGTCAACAGTACCAAAAGCTTGCCATACAGCTCTCGCGCCGAGCCAAAAACCGGTTGCCCAACTTCGGATCACTCATTGGTTTGCTGGATGTTCTGCTCGCCTCTATGCAAGTCGAAGACGATAACCAGATCAGGGTTACTGTGGGCCGGCCTGACCAGCGCCTTCAGAATGATCCATGGCTCGAACAACCTTTCCTGTATACCCAAATGGAAGCCAACCTTCTGGAAATGATGTGGGATAAGACTCAAGCCAACATCTTTGCCGAAAAGCTCATCAGCATCTACCAGAACGTTGAGGGCACCCACCGGATAATCATCAACCTGGTGAAGCAAAACCGATGGCTCGAAGAGGGCATTTTCAACGCTCTTGTCGCCAATATCAGCAGCCAGAACTCAAGCCAGCTCATCTATCCTTTCCTACATGCGTCACTGATCTTTTGCCGTCATGCGCCTACCAGGTTACTGGTAGACAAGCTCATAGAGCATGTTTGCGACCAATGCCGCGTCGTGGAGAGTGCAGATGGCGGAGCGTTTTTGGAGTTCCACCGGGCTCTGTTCGATTCCCATCGAGAGAGCCAGGATGATGAGACCGTTACTCTTCAAATGATCAGCATCCTTCCCGATTGGGCTCCCGGCTTATTGGGCCACTATGATGCGAGAACAAGTTTGGAGACTGAGCGCTTCCTGAACGAGAAGCTTTTCCAGTACGGACCATCACCCTCATTTGGCGATACCGAGCAGGATAAAAGGAAAGCGGAGTGCATGAAGACGAGCGCGAAGCGATTAGGAATCCGGTGCCTGCAATACCTAAGGGACAATTTCGTGGAGACGGGCATCGAAGTGTCAGCGCGACTTGTTCAGAGCCTGGAACGGGTAATTGATCAGTGCATCAAGTACTTGCCTCCTCCGGGTGGTCCTGAAGAGGATAACGAGGCCAAGGGGTTCAGAAGGCTTGTTCATGGTAAGTTGCATTTTCCCCAAAGACGGATAGCGGCATATGACTGACACAATGGCACAGTTATCGGCCAACGATTGCACGCGCTGAAGGTAGACGAGGTGGAAGAAGATGGGTCCGGTATGTTGCTTGACGACTCCTCCAGCATCGCATCGAGCGACACTCTCGCCTAACATTATTATCTTGATCAATACAGAGTGGGAGAATTCGTCAGTTAACTCTGAACAGTTTGATGAACTGGGAGATGTCAAGATGTCAACGGAGGAGGTTAACGAAGGCGACCTGCAGTAGCGCCGTAGGCGTCGTGGCCGACAACAGCGGCATCGTTGAAGTGTTTGGCTTGCCAGACATGAAGGGATAGATTAACAAGGAGCTTTCATGCAGAAAAGAGCTATGGAATTTTCAAGAGGACAAGGACATGGGCGTTCAGCGTGTCGAAGGTATAGACAAACAATGGAAAGGACAAGAAGCGAAAAGGGTGGGAGAATCAGCATGTTTTACATCTCCCTTAATTTTCTTCATCTCAGCATGGAATGGAATGGCACGGGCACTCAATGGATGGGAATATGGTTTGGTATGGAAAGCGTTGGCGTCTTGGGCATAAACGGTTAGGGGCAAGTTGTGATTTCAGCCTTTTTAGAGTATTTCAGACTCTTCAGAGGTCATTATAGCTCTACACATACACTTAGACTTTCATAGTCAAGTCATTTTGCTACTCTTTCCGAGTTCCACGACATGAAATCCCGTGATGAATCGCGGCTGTGAATGCATTGTGGCAGCGGCAGGCCTGGTCGATGAGACGGAGGCCGGCTGGCCGGGCAGACAGGCGGGCAAGCGGGCAAGTGGATGGATCTGGATATGGTTAACTGCATGCGGCCAAGCTGGTGGCTGCTGAGGGGGAAATTCTCATGTTGTGGACATGCATGTCTGCAAGTCTGCCTCGTCTGGCGATATTATACCGTATGTACATGGCTGCAATATGCATGTCTTGGTCCAGCCTGAGATGCTGTGTTGTGCAAGACTCTGTCCTTCGTCTAACCGAGCTGGGTTGGGTAAGGGTTTGTACTTTGTGTGTTGTCTTTTGACACTGTTGTGCTCTGTTCGAGTGCGTGGTTTGTGTTACCTATGGATGCTTTTGTATGTTGAAGGTTTGTTTTGACCACGAGGCTCCCGACGATGTCGTTCAAAAGCACCCGCCATGGACGATAATATTCCAGCCAATAACTTGCTGACAAAACACTCACGAACCCTTGTAGGTGTCAGCCCTACCTTTAAGACCTTCCGACTTCTTCGTCTTTGCAATCGAAGCTCCCAAGCGCACGCACGCACGCACGATACCTCGGCGACTCGACTCGGTCGTTGGATGATGATCTCTCGACGATCACTCCTTCCAATTGACGCGAACACTGGCGGGGTAGTGTAAACTGTAAAAAGCGTCGAGAACATCCATCAATCCATGCTTCTCAATAACTTCAAGCTACACTACACTACTGGTGCCACGATCGTCACCCAAGCACGCATGGAGTGAAAGCTTGACCACCAGTTATTTTGCCCAATGGACTCGGGGCTGGAAGGTGTGGAAGATGGGATGGGTAGAGGTGGTTGTGGTTGTGGAGGAGGGGAAAGTAGTGTAAGCGAAAAAACATAGTAGTGCCATCGCCAAGGGTTTAGCCGCCGACCCCCCTGACCAGACTATTGAATGCTAGTGGTCGAACCAACCGAGCACCCATGACATGGTGGGATTTTGTGGGATCTTTGGCGGTTGCGCGGTTGAGTGGACGGACAGGGGGAGCTGAGGTTGCAGTTGTCACAGTGATGAGAGTTTGCAGGTACGGTGGGATTGGGATTAGGATTGGGATTGGGGATTGTTGAGGGAAGTGTTCTTATTCTTCCATTTTTCACTTCATCACATTGAGTCAAGTCAGGTCGGTTTTTGATCGAAATCCACACATCCCCAGCGGAGTAAGATATTTGGACATGTGATGAAGATAGAAGCTCATCAAACATCAATCGTATGAGGTCTGGATGCAATGGCAAAGACAGCGAGAGAAAATAGAAGGCCAAAAGGAGCACAGCAACGGCGAGAACAGGAGCCTCACAAGTATAGCTCACGCTTACGGTGCTGAATGTTTACAAGCCGAGTGATGCACTTGGGCGCATTCGTCACTTACACGCCATAGGTTCCCGCTCGGGGACCACAACCACACGCCATCAACACCCACGACGCCCGCAAAGCCCACTGGCCGGTCGTCTTTTCTGCTCGGTTGCGCTTCTGCGAGTGGAAATGTCACCCTAGCAGTGGAAGGATGGGCCACCCACGAACAAGACCCAGGCGTGCCAGGCTTTCCCAGGGAACGCTTTTGGACATGTCCTGGGCAAATTATTGACTTTGGTCACTTTCTTCAGGATGTGAGAAAGGTGAAACAAGAGATTGCTCGTTGACGCCCGAAGGAGGGTAATTATTATTCACCTCTCCCCCTGCCTGCATAAGTTTCAGAGATTCTTCTGCTTCTGGCTCACATCTCATCACCACAACCGCAGAAGACACCGCTCTGCGTAGCCGCCCACTCAAGCAGCCAGTCCCCAAGCTCTTTTTTTATCCCACTTTCTTTTCTTTGCTCGTTTCAGAATTTTACCCCCTTAACCCAGTCCATTGGGTCCTTTGGGCTGGTTTCATCTTGGGCTAGACTGGGAATTTGTTCAGAGGTTAAAACTTGATGGGTATCCTCTCTTTTGTTTCATCAAGTCTCCAGTTCTCTTTTTTTCCCCTTCAGTTCCATTCCATTATCATGAAGCAACGGGGTTAGTAATAGGGAAACAACCTCTTCTTTTGAACGTGAGGGAACATCTGGTTGAGCCAATCATCACTCACTATTTCCTTGTTACGCCCACCCTTGCTCTTGTGTTTATCTTTTTATTTTTCTTCGAGCTTGACATCACCGACCAGATCTCCTTGTTACAGATCTCAAAGGACGACAACGACACAATACTACCCCACCGACAGGCCGGACCTTGACACCACTCGTTAGCAACCGTCTGTCCTCATTCAGCCATTCTCCGCCAAGTCTCATTATACCATTTTGAAACCGAAAAACAATAAATCAAACATGTCTTCTTCGCTCCCGCTCAAGACCCGCATCTCCCCTCCTCTGGGCGCTGGTTCTTCTCTCGCCGAAGGTGGTGATCACCTCCCTGGCAATCTCACCTCGGCTCTCGAGTATGCCTCCAAGAGGCTCCAGAGGAAAGGAGCAAAGTTCACTCTCTTGGTTATCCGCAAGGATTACCAGCTTCCGACCTCTCCACTCGGCTCTCCATCCGCTCAGTCTTTCTCGTGCGGTAGCACTCCTTCCTCCTCGACCTCAAGCTCGGTTGCCAGCACCCCAGCCAAGCCTACTTTTGCTCACGCATTCAAGCAATTTGTTCGTGGTGACACGGGTCCGATCAAGGAGAGGGTAATCAACATCAACACCGACTACCGCTATGGAGCCACGTCACCCACATTCTCCGAAGCCTCCCTCACTTCTGCTTCGACAGCATCAACAGTCGACTCCGTCTTCACCAACCACCGCGGCCGAGTAGGAGGAGCAGGACGATGGCCACTCAGCCCGGGTGCTTCCCAAGCACCGTCGGCGCCTTTAACACCAGCAACGCCATATTCCACCTCCTCCATGGCCGCCGACAACATTAACACTACATGTCTTCCCAGCGCCGGCCTCCACGCCACCCGCGGCTTCGGCCCTGCCCTGCTTCAGATACCCTCATCACCGACATCATCAGATTTCGGTATCCGCCTCATCCACGCCATCCCGCTCAAGGAAAAAGAGGACAAACTCCTCTCTTCGACTCTCGAAAAAGCTGCCAAGAAATTCAACATCTCCCCTTCCTCCCTCCCACCACCCATCCCCGCCTCGACACTCGGCCTCCCCCCCGAGCTTTTGCACCGCTCTCTGGCCCAAAACGAAGTCCTTTTCGGCCCTTCCTCCTCTTCCTCGGGGGCAGCCGGCCTTCGTCTCCTCTCGCTTGACCACTTGTACACCTTCCGCTCGGCGCTGCAGTGCTACACCCGGACGGTGAACCATAAGCCGTCGGTGTCAAGATCGATTGCGCACCGCAGGCTGGAAGATGCCGTGGATGAGTTAAGGAGACTTGTGCTGGGGAACGGATGCCAGAAGCTCAAGAAGAGTTGCCTTGTTAGCGCGTATGCAAGGTTTATGGATCCCGTTAGCAATCGGAGCTTGGAGGAGGTCGGGAGGATGTATGGGAGAGCGTATGGCAGAAGGGATCATAGGGGTGGGCGGGATGTAAGGGAGAAGGGGTGGGTGGATGATACGGTTGATAAGGTCGAGGGCGTAGAGCAGGGCATTTTTGAGTTGATGGGTGATTTTGAGATGCCCGAACCAGTTCGTGTAATGAAGGAGAAGCCGTTGCCGGTGGCGCCGGTGTCGAATGGGTGGGTTGGTCCTTACTACTACGGTGGTGACGAGAAGGCGGTTGTCGTGGCGGAGGAGGACATTGATCTCGACGAGATGGCCGACATGATGGACGAAATTGATCTGGAGAGCAAGCTGGAGATGGACGACATCGAGGCTTGGTACCGCAATGTCC